AGGCGGTAGAGTTTTCCGCATTCCGTCACAAAAATACACAATAATACAATCCTTGAGTGTGGAACAGAGAAGGTATCTGACAGAAGTCATCAAGTTATAGCCGTGGGCTAGTGGTAGAGCGGAAGGTCCGGGGTTCGATTGACTCCCAGCCGCGTCGTGCCAAAAGAAGTTTAAAGATGGTACTTGTTGTTACCCTGTCTGGTGCTCGGCATTAAGGAGCTAAAACAAGGACAGGTCGGCTCGGAGTCAGTATACTGTGTCTGAGTGGGGTATTCATGTTAAACTGAACACGCACGCACGCACGCACGCACGCACGCACGCACGCACGCACACGTGCATGCACGTCACTATACATATAAGTGCAATAATCCTGGACGCGACGTTCAACCTAATTTCACCTCACCTCATCTCTCGTTGCCGCGCTTAAAATAATAACCAAGAAAGATATAAAAATTAAACAAAGCGCGACATCGCGGCAATGCGGCAATGTCCCCTCTACGATTCCATATTAATTCGCTATGCAGAGTTGCGTCCCTTGGGCACGCCAGAACCCACCTATGATTGAAGGTTCAAATCATGGTTCGTCTCGATCATGTTTCTAGGTTTGTCAGCATTATACCCGTGCTCGTCATTTTATCAAAGTGGTAAACGTCTGAGACCTGCATCACTTCGGGCGTTAAGGTCAACTGTGTCCCTCACCCAATATCCGACACCATATGGGCGTGTCATCACCCACCCACTTAAGCCAGAGCTACATCAGTTGCGAGAGAAGGCAGAGAAAGAAGAAGGCAGCCAACAAGTAAGAAATTACCAACACATCCAGTGAAGAACGTACATGAAAAGCGGATTTATTTATACTCATTTACAATAGGGTAAAACGTACATTGGACATGCATGAGAGGCCAATCTCATTAAAATCAGATCTAAGTTCTAGCTTTGTTTACCGGTAGCGAGAACTAAGATCTGATTTTAATGAGATTGCAGGAGAGGCCATCACGAGCGAGATCCTACACGTGGAACAGAAGCCATTAGGGAACGATTGTGTTTGTTTGTTGTTTAACGCCGCACTCAGCAATAGTCCAGCTATATGACGACGGTCTGTCAAAAAGTAGAGTCTGGACCAGACAATCCAGTGTTTGGCATCATGAGCTTCGACTACATCAATTTTTTAAGACACAGTAGGATGATCTCCTAAATGGACTAAATGCAGACATTTCTTTTCATCCTTAATGTTTGTTTACTATACACTGATAATCAAGGTCATATTTTAACATAAGATATACCCTGTTAAGTGCAGGTAGTGTGTTCTATACTTCATACCTGTGTCGGATATGTCTGCAATTTGTACGTGTGAAAGTTTCGTAAAAAAATATTTTGGTAATTCTTGACGTTTGTTTGTTTGATTGTTTGTTTGTTGTTTAACGCCGCACTCGGCAATATTCCCGCTATATAACGACGGTCTGTAAATAATCGAGTCTGGACTAGCCAATCAAGTGATTGATATCAGGAGCATCGATCCACACAATTGGGATACGATGACATGCATCAAAAAAGTCAGCGAGCCTGACTACCTGATCCCGCTATTCGCCTCTTACAACAAGCATAGTCGCCTTTTACGGCAAGCATGGGTTGCTGAAGACCTGTTCTCTTTCCGGACATTAGAGGATGAATATACACTTGACTGAATGATAAAATTTAACGAAGAACCTACACACGGAACAGAATATTAGGAAGAAGAGGCTGTACGAAACAGGAGATGACATCGATTGAGAGGAAGAGCCCTACAGAAGAAGAAAAAATCACGAGTGTGTGTGTGTGCGTATATGCATGTGCGTGCGTGCGTGTCTCCTGGTGTTGCGTGTGCATTATCAGGTACGGTATAACATGTAGTTGGGAGAACATGTGAATCGCACATAAAATATACCATTGTACATAGAATTTGCTACAACATTTATTTACTTGTTTGTTGTTTAACGCCGCACTCTGCAATATTCAAGCTACATGACAGTGGTCCAGTGATTGACATCATGAGCATCGATCTACGTATGGGATATGTTGACATGCATGAACCAAGTCAGCGAGCCTGACCACCCGATCCCGTTAGTAGCCCTTTACGACAAGCATAGTGGCCTTTTACGGCAAGCATGGGTTGCCGAAGACCTATTCTACTCCGGGTGTTCCTACAAGAGGCCCGGCTCATGCACAAGGAATCGGGAATTAACCGAAGCTGATGTGAGCAAATTTACAGGAAATAACCATTCACGTGTTAACATGTTACTGATTATTATCATGATTGTTATATTACTGTTGCCCATCAATGTGTGACGGATGCTCTTAAGGGGTCAGGGGGGCACGGGTGGCCCAGTCGTCTAAGGCGCCGCGATTCGCTGTGCAGAGTTGCGTCCCTTGGGCACGCCAGAAACCTATGATTGTGGGTTCGAATCCCGATTCGCCCCGATTATGTTTCTAGGTTTGTCAGCACCATACCCGTGCTCGTGGGTTTCACCGAAGTGGTAAACGTCTGAGACCTGCATCACTTCGGGCTTTCCTCCCACATTAAGCTGACACGCCGCGATATAACTGGAATACTGTTAAAAGCGGCGTTAAACCCAACTCACTCACTCACTTAGGGGGTCAGTGGCGTGCATGAAAGTATTCACCGCGGGAAGCGCTACTGACCATGTCATGAATTGATTAATTAAGAGACACTGTGTGCAAGCGGACTTACCCGTATTTACAAACCACTTCATTGTTTATTGATAGAAAGTGATTAGCAAACACACTATCCGTATCGCTAGAGACAATCGCTTATGTGAGAGCGTACACTCCTTCAATAATTCATACCCACATCACGCAAGGAAGATCGGGTGTCTTCACCTTGCATGCATAGTGTTACAACAGTTGATAGTCTTCGCGTAAGTCTTGAATTTAAACACAATGAGAATAAAATATTAAAATATTTATTTTTTTTAAAATAACTATTTCATTATATATATGCGCCTCATTCCGTTGAATTAATAACGAATGCTGCATGGACATAAGCTTTATTTTAAACTGGGGGGGGGGGGGGGGGGGATATCATATTTTGCTCTTGTTATAAATATTAATCTTATTGTTATTTTCTCATTGTAATTAAACATGGCTAAAGCTAATTCGACTAGAAAGTCCATCCGGATAGCGCTATTTTAAAACTGTTTTGTACACTAAAGTTACCTGCGTATCCTTTTCATAGGGTCTATCTGTGGTGTTAGCTTGGACAAATTTGATTTGACAAATGAACGCTCGTTAGACTGGATATATTCATTTTTATATGTTGTCTGGTTGGTGAGAGGAAGGTCAGGGGTTCGATCCCCGGCCGCGTCATACCAAAAGACGTAAAAAGATGGTTCTTGTTGTTACCCTGTCTGGCGCTCGGTGTTAGAGACTAAAACAAGGACTGGTCGGCTCGGAGTCTGTATAATGTGTCTGAGTGGGGTATTCGTGTTAAACTGCGGCATGGTATCTCAGTGGGCTAGCACTATAAAATCGGCATTAGTCGGGACTAGTACAAGCAGACACACGCGCGCGCGCATGCACGTCGCAATATAAGTGTAGATAATAATAGTCTTAGACACTACGTTAAACCCCATTCCACCTGATCATCATTATTAATAATATTTATTTTCTGTCCCTTTTGACACTAATGTGATTGACAAGATTCAGGAGAATCATGGCTAATATGCGGACCTCGCTTACGAAATGTCACGCTTGCATCACAAGTACGAAGTTGTCCGACTCACTATTGTTCTCGGTGCCTTAAAAAAATAATTAGGTTTGGTACCTCCCAATCTGTTTACTGACATTGGGAGGGTACTCGGGTTTGCTGCAAGGTTTACAGCGCTTCTGACAAAACTGGGTAATGCAGAAGGCTGCAGTGTTGGGGAGTCTTCACATGCATTCTCCGAACGTTCTCGGGGGATTCGACTTGGCAGTGCTTCCTGAAAGAAGCCCCATTCACTGTCTGGGCTGCGTGTAGAGGGGGCAAGGGCCCTGAGCTGATGATGAGCCTAACCAGCCTAATCGTTCCAGGATCACTTAAACCCTCTTTGTTGCATTAATTCATTTTAATCTTAATAATGATAGATCTACTACTACTACTACTATACTACTATTACTAATATACTAAACTACTCAACTTCGGTGAATGCATGACCAGATCGTTTATTACATGCATCTAAATACGTTTTGCAAATGCTGTGGTAAAAAATATCCCAACCGGACATTTTGTATCTCTTGAGATCTACAGAGGGTACCCGGGTAGGGTCGGGTAATAGGGAGGTGGGTATACCCGGGTAGTAAATTTGGATTCGTCCCAGACCTATACTACTACTACTACTAATACTACTACTAATAATAATAATAACTCCTGTTTCAAACTTTGTCCTCAATATCCATCAATAATAGCTTGGCTTTGTTCCGTGTTTAGCCAATATATGAACCAGCGTCGACTAGAAGTGTTCGATCGGCGCTGATCGTTTATTTGTGTAGATCTAGACACTCTGATTCTTCTTAGCCTAGATATTTCTTACATAAATTCGTCTTCACTTGTTTAACAAATAGTAACGTTAAGTAAACATCCTGTACGCATGACCTTCACCAACAAATCGAAATTAGCATCAGTATTATCTTTGTTTGGAGCCCATTGTCTTACACTAGATCCATACTGTATCAAACAATTTACAGCAACACGGGAATTCGTATCTAAGCATACACCACGCGATTATACATCAGCAATAGCTCCGTCAATAGCTTGCAAATGTTATTCTTCCCCAACAATAGCAATATCGCGGGACCCTTTATCTTAGATGTTATTGATTTGTGACTCTAGACTGTCAAACAACAACATTAGCAGCATGCTAGTTCTCGCACTACTTGCGCCTGTTGTAGCAACGGGACCAATCACTTCCGCGGTATCGCTCCGCTGCTTGACTCTGGCTAACGGTATCTTAATTTCGTTTTATTGTCGCTGAAGAAGGTATCTACAATATTCCACATACCACATATGGCTTTAAATAACACTTTATGTCATGTTACAGGGTAAAAATAATATTAGCTAAAGAAATAGTTGAGAACTTAATTACGTGGCCCTAGGTTTCAACTTATGATTTGTGAACGCAAGGTGTCATGGAAGTTTAGTGTCCCAAGAGAGAAACCAGGGAGGACGATCGAGACGTTATTATATTGTAAGTGTTTTACGTATGATTACAGCGTATTATAACAATGTAAAACTTAATGTCACTGATTATTCTGCATCCTCGAAACGATTTGAAACTGAAACTAGTACAGTAACTTTTCTTCAAGTGTAGCAAAAAGGCCTAGCTGGTATGGTCTGTTTGTTAGTCTATTGAATTTAAATAGATGTTTAGACATATCCGTATTATATATATGTGTGTGTGTGTGTGTGTGTGTGTGTGTGTTATCTGCATACAACCTGCTTACTTTCTGTTATGGCAATACATGCTTGTTGTCTCTCTTACTAGTATATTTGTGAAGGCAGTATTGAGAAAAGGTTCTGCTTGATAATAATTCATCCTAATCAGTTGCCTAATGTTTTGAATTCAGTTGACCTGGATGTTAGCTGGATCATTCATGTTTAAACATACAAACTCCACAAAGAATTGGTACTAAAATCTTTTTAAGTATATGTATCTAATATATTAATTTTATTTGCATCAGTGCAGGGGCATTTTCCCAGTTACTTCTTGAAGTATTTTTATGTATGTATCAGGGATGTCATGTTGTGTTGAAGGAAGACTAGTCTGTCTTACAGACCCTGATACAAATATATATCAAATACAGCCCATGCAAGTCTATAATGTTTGGCAAGTCTAGTTCACTGCAGTATCTGAAAATGAAGAGAGTCACTGGGCTCCTTTTTATTATATTTTTATTAAGATAACTGAACAACTGTTTTTTTATGTACGATATGTTCATTTCAGAGACTAGATTTTAGTCTAAAGGAAGACATTCATGAAATACAGTCAAACATTGTTGTGTCTACTTACGGTTGTCTTGAAGTAAAAGCTTGGTTCTGTGTATTCCTTCTTTATTGATTATTTTCGGTTGTTACGAACCTCGGATATCTCAAAATGTTCATGTAGGTCCCTTCAACTTTGAGACAACAGTGTTTGACTGTACCATCCATTGCTTGAAAGTAACTCATGAAATGCTAAATGACAGTCGGCAAGGGCATTTCATTTGCTGTTCATATTTGACATGTGATATGCCAGATATAGAAATATATAATTTTTTCAAGTGTGCCACAGGGCTCTCAAAAAAGTTCAGGTATGCCCTTTGGAATTTAGTTGTACCAATTAAAAGAATGCATTTGATACCTCATCGAACCATGGTGGCTTATTGAATGTCACTTCACATGGGTAGAATATATGCAGTTGTAATTTGGACAATTTACCCCATTCCTTTTCATTGCAATTGATAATCCAATTTTTCATTTCCAAACAACCAAGTTTGTTTTGTGAATCACACCATACGTTAAGCAAGTTCAAATGTTTTCCATGTGTTTATTACATTTATTAAAATGGTTTTATATAATATACATTGTCAGGGGGTATTGTTAAAAAATATGATTTCTAAGGGTGCCCTTTAGGCACCTGGGGCTCGTTTCACAAAGCGATCGTAGCGCTACGACAACCTAACTCCTATACTTTAACATAGACTTACGACCGTCTTAGCGCTACCTAATTTAACCTTGCCATTACAATTTTAACCGTGTCATCGAACTAAAGTACAAAGACTTTCGAACCTGGTACCCCAATGTGTCTAATCATGCATATACAGACCTGTGTTTAGAGAGCTGGCGCCAGGCTAGCCTGATGCATGTATTTCTTGTGCCTGCTTATCACTGAAAGAGCAGAGCATGGATTTCAAGTTTATATATTTATTACTTCTTTGCATATCCTGATAAGGACATAAACAATAAAATCTCTTCGAATTTGCTACCAACACTTTCAGCTTGATTGTAGATAGAAAATCAGCATGAAATATAATTTGACAAACATATTGAACACTCGGTTAGCCATAATAGCTGAAAAAGCATGTATGGGAATGAATCAAGATATCACCCATTGACTTGTTTAAACGTTTTAAAAGCTTTGGTGACACCGGATTACAAATTTTGACAAGCGGAAGCCCGTTTATTAACAAGAGGATTTGGTGGCTTAGAATCAGTTGAAGAACCATTGTTTTTTTAACTCTCACTCCTAGTGTACAGTTACCATGGTTACAGATGGCTACTGTCATGCTCATAGTCACAGTGGAATATAAGGTGTCACAAAATACACTGTCACGGTACATCAGTACCTCATTAGATTTTTTCATGGACTTTTAAATACTGTGTTCATCCTGTTTAGTCCACTAATAACCTCCCTCAGTTGCCATGTCCACATAACTTATGCTTACTTTTTTATGTCTAAAGGTCTGGGGGCACGGTTAGCCTAGTCGTCTAAGGTGTGGCGATTCGCTGTGCAGAGTTGTGTCCCTTGGGCACGCCAGAAACCTATGATTGTGGGTTCGAATCCCGATTCGCCCTGATATGTTTCTGGGTTTGTCAGCACCAAGGGTTTCAGCGAAGTGGTAAACGTCTGAGACCTGCATCACTTCGGGCTTTCCCCCCACATTAAGCTGACATGCCGTGATATAACTGTAATACTGTTAAAATCAGCGTTAAACCCAACTCATTCACTCTAAAGGTCTAATGGTGTATGCACCACTTTCACATGCAGATGTAGGTGTAATTTATTTTTTTATTGACAGAATCTTTTCCAAGAATCCCTATTTAAATATAAATGTCTAACAATTGACAACATCAGATTTGTGCCATTTGCACTATGTAGGCATCCAATCAGAAAGCTTGTTTCATGTGACAGTCAAACATTGAATACTTACTTTCGTATTGTAACAAACATTTTGTTGTGATAATGTTTTATAAACTGTGAAGTTTTTCTTCTGGTGCAGTTGTACACAGGATGTAAAGCTAATCTTAACTTAACAATTTAACAATTTGAAAAGATCAAGCAAAAATATTTTTCGGCTTAATCAGTTATGAATAATTGTTACATTTTGATAATTTCAAATTATTTTTGTAACATATTGATCATTTCAGTTTTAAATCATCATTTATCATGTATTCTCTTTGATTAGGCAACCCTGGCATGAAGTAGCTGGTCATTGTTTGACGGTCAGTTCCAACTAACCATGGAGACGGTGGAGAAGACCAGTACAGATGCCAACAGCAGGGAGGGTGAAGACAAACAGCCTGACCAGTCAGCTGGACGACCACTGACCACACCACCATGCAAGGAGAGTACAGAGTCCGACAGTCACACCAAAGAAAAAGATGAACTTGTTAAAACCGAAACTGTTGGCATGGAACCAAAGGTTACTTATAGTAACATGACTGCTTGCAGTCTTTTGGACCCCGAGTCCTTGGAAGAGTTCATTTTGCAGCCGGCGCCAGGAACTGGCCGCACTAAAACTCCCGACTCAAGTCGGCCTAAGAGCAGCAGTAGTGGAGAGATTATGTTTGAGGCAAAGCGAAGACGGCGGAAAGTTGCATCGGGACCAAATGCTCATACAGTGACATTTACTGTTAATATTGCCATGGCGATACCAACAGGTCAGTGCCTCGTAAAGAAACTTGTCATTCACAATTTTGAATATGTTACATTTCAGGTTATGGGTCGGTGTGATAATTGTATATATATTTCAACCCAGGAAAAAGATTAGTGTTCCTCAACACTTGTCAGAATAACGATAGCATATACAATATGGGCACATTTTTTATCTGGGACATTTTTTAGCCTCCTGTAGGATGCCCAGGGCAGGTTGCCTTGGTCAGTCAGCGAATCTTAGTTCCTTCTGCAAAAACTTGAATCATGTCCCTTTCGAAGCAGAAAACTAACTGTGCAGTTTTATTTTTACTTCAAATGTTGTATTTTTGTAGATATTTAATTAGATCCGGGGTAGAATAGGTCTTCAGCAACCCATGCTTGCCGTAAATGGCGACTATGCTTGTCGTAAGAGGCGACTAACGGGATCAGGTGGTCAAGCACGATGACTTGGTTGATGCCAGTCATCGTATCTCAATTGCGTGGAGCGATGCATATGATGTCAATCACTGGATTGTCTGGTCCAGGTTCGATTATTTACAGACCCCTATCATATACCTGGAATATTGCTGAGTGCCGCGTTAAACAACAAACAAACAAAACAAACAAAGATATTGCATTAGTAGCCTGTACAGTGATTAAGGTTAGAAGTTAGTTCATTGTAGCAGGGTTGTGACATTTGGATATTGTGGTATTGTGAAGCACTGCTGCAAACAGTATTCAGATACTGTTACAGTAGTTTTGTGGTACTATCTGTGATAGAGATAATACCTCAACCCTCCCCTTTCTGTCATCTTCAAAATAATTTTTTTTCCTATTTACTGGTTGTCCAACTTGATACAGTGACAAAAGTTTGACATGATCATAGTAATACTGTATTCAACGAAATAAGTGCCCCGCTCTAATAAGCACCCACGGCGATATTTGCTAACATATTGGCTAGAGAACAATCCCAATTAGCACCCCTTCAGATTTATCAATGTACACAAGATTTATTTATTCGTGTATGATACGTGTGTAATATGCATCCTTAAATATGGGAAAATTAAATTAAATATATTTGTCGTATATAAACATTTCAGGCTGTCAGCATAAACCATGAAATTTGCGATCCTTCAACTCTGTTGTTTTTCACCAAAATAATATTCTAATAAAAGACCCCTATTTCTAATTTTGAGAGCTCCCAGGGGGCTTATTATGTCAAATACGGTAATGCTTTTTCCTAATTATGATAATTATTATCATTTATGTCTTAACTATGATAAAATGGTCCTTTTGTCTTATTATATAACTATGATAAAATGGTCTTTTTGTCCTACTTATGATATTGTTTGTCCTGTTATGATCATAATGATCATGATGAGTAAAATCAACAATTAGGAACAAGGACAGTTCATTAATGTCACTGCTTGAAGAATGACTTTGAAAATTATGCATTGAATGCATGATAACCTTCAGACAGGTGTATATGTTATATTACAAGAAAAACAAAAAAATGATAATATTTCACATCAGTTACTATGGCAGCGATAGAAACTAACAGTTTTTGTCCTATAGTCCTTACAATGATAACATATAGCAAAACCATTAAAAAGGGTAAATTCTACTAGTCCTTATGATACATTAACTATTGGGCAGTTTGGCAAGGACTACAGGACTAGTGCCAGTTTCTAACACTGTATGCACGGTCCACTCTAGTAATTTTCTGACTTGGGCCCTTTATGTTAAAATTTCAAATATTCCAGAGGAACACCCACACTTGCCCATACAGCACAATGTTAAAATGCCCCATTGTATTTGAAAATGTGGGCCTTTTTTTCAAACTAAGAGGCTAAAAGCTCAAGGCCCCATCCTAGTATTATCCCTGTGTATGATCTATCAAGATCTATAGATACGAAACTGTCATGTAATTTGCTCCTTGAAAGCTGCTTTCATTTAATCTAAATTTATATTTATTAAACAATAAAATATAATAATAATAAAATGCTACAAGCTTTGTTAAATGGGGTACAGGGATTTTTCTTGATCTGCTCCAAGGCTGATATTCAACCAGAATTTTCCATTAAAAAACCCAAACTGGAATTATACATTTACCAATTCAGGCTTAGAAACTAACAGTTTTTGTCCACTAGTCCTTACAATGATAACATATAGCAAAACCCTTAAAATGGGCCAATATCTACTAGTCCTTAGGATACCTTTACTATTGGGCAGTTTGGTAAGGACTACAGGACCAGTGCCAATTTCTAACGCTGCAATTCATGTTGTTATAGAATTAATTTGTATTTCACTGATAACAGGAACAATTAAGTAGAATAGGTTTTAATACTTAGCTTCTTATTATCATAATTATTGCATAGAATGCAGTATTAAAGTTCAATGTTAAAATACCTTTGAATTTAAGAAAATACATTTTGAAGAAACATATAAATTCCAGTAGCCAGCCAGTTAGTTTGGAATCCTGGCTAAATTCCTGTCGTTGCTAAGTTACTATGCAACATGTGTACAATGAAGTCATAACCTTTGTCTTTTTTATTACAAAAATATTCATGTTCGAGTAAATAAACTTTTTAAGAAACCAAATCATGATCTGTCATTGAAGAGCAACAGATCACAAAATAAGCCAAAGTGTCATCGTTTTTCAACATGGGGGATTTCATTGCCAGGGAGGGTCTGTTTCTTTAATTGCTATCTCCTGTAATATGCAGTAAAAGACAAGTCTGGACGATCTCATCGACAGGGGACGCCTGTCCAACCTCGGGGTAACCAGACAATATTTAACTATTTAAGTCGCTGCACCCCACTCTCTGCAGTTTGCCATTCTATCTCATTTATACCACTTCCTCTTTCAATTACCCTGCAAACATCCTCACGCAAAGCTTGCATGTTGATATCTGTCAATTCCGCCTAAAGGGACTTCGCTTTTCAGAGCCGTTTTCCTTCCGTTAAGCTGGGGGAATTCCTTGCATGACTGCCGGCCGTTGCCAGTTATTTCCATTCAACTTGTCCGTGGGTGATTTCTCGGCGGTTGATGTTAACGCTTGAATTACAGTCCCGTGGAATTATCGTTTACACTTGATACTGATAAAATCAAGGGCTTAATTTTGATTGATGGCAATCACACTTGCTTGTATTGTGTGAGGAGATCTATATGTGATAAAGTTGCAGACCTGAGTCAAATCATGAGGGTCTATTGTGAAGTGGGTTTTGGAATATTGATTAAAAGTTGTTGTAAAATGAGTATTTTTTTATGTGTCAGTCATGCACGCATCAAAGATATGTTATATGATATATTTGCTGTTATGAATAGTCATTTAAAGGGTTTTATAACAGACAGACAGACAGTACACACCGGGTATTATTGATTCTAATGACCGGTGAAGTAATGAATATTTTCTCCTAGAAAAAATATGCTGGTTTTTTTTCTGTTTAGGTAACTGTGGTAATGTGGTAATACAAATGTAGATTAAAACATAAGAAATCATTATTTAGAATGATCATATTAATATGGTTAAGAAAACATTGTTCCCGAAAATATATATTCCATATCAAGTTTTAACAGTTTTGAACATATTGAACAAAAACAAAGTAATTCTTCTGATTTCAATCTGGCTTTAGTTTAATCATTTAGCCACTTTGCACTAGTTTGGGGTTGTTCTACGATGCACAAATATAGAACAGAAACTGTTATTCCAAGTTTTCTGTGATATAGTTTAGATATACATTTTGTATTTTAGTACTTGCATTCACGTCTGCTGTCTTCAAGGCTTCCTTGCTATACACAGTGCATGGCGCATTCTTTACTATTATTTCTTTTGTACTGAAAGTAGTACTATAAAGCTTTATCATAATTGAATAGTGTTAAAAAAGAACAAATTTTACAATTAGAAAATAATACTCTATTTCCAATGCTTTATCTCTATAATATATAAACAAATGGTGCACAAGTGATTACATTACAAAATTGATGTGGGTGGCCTATATTTTTAAATAAAAAAACATGTTACGAGGAGCTGAATTTTATAAATTCATATGTTTATATATTCTGCTTTTGCAGGAAATGTGTAATAACCAAAAATATTACTTCAAGCATGTATTTAGTAATATCACTTTGCAAGCGAATTTTATGAATATTAAATTTGTACCATTCATGTCGTTACAACAATTATTTTAGGATCTTGTCCCATTTGAAAGCGACAGAAAGTAAAACAGAAATTCCTTTCAAAATATTGACAGCATATTTTGGTCTTAAGTAAATTTGGCACCGGAATCATGCCTATCATGCTTAAGGACATGTTGTCATAGCGAGGATGCCAAGTGTCACCTCTACTCTTTACAACAGATTGAATTTATGAATAATTAAACACTCTCTGTCAGTTTATATGTAGCTTTTTCCTCTCTCATTTCCTGCAACACCCCCGCCCTTCTGCCTGTATAATGGGCCTCTCTCTCACTGTAGTGTGTTGATGGCTGACAAACGCAGGTGATGTTGTAGTGTTTGTATTGTTAATGTCTGTTCTATTGGAAGGAATCTTTTTTTGTTGACGCTAAAGAAAGGTAAGTGGAAATGTTTTAGTTTTTTTCTATTTAAAGTTGATAAGCCTATGCTTCAAGCCGATTTCAAAACTGAAAACTGTTGAATAATCTTCAAGACTATTCATTTGTCAACCTTATTTTAAGACACTATTGACGTTACATGATTTTGATGACAGGTATTTCTTGTAATAAGCTTTCCTCCCTCAGAAGGCATGTTGTTATGTATCCCAAGTACTTTCATTGGATTTTGTTTCATTAAATACCCTAATTGATTACACTGATAACAGTATTTTGTGATGCAACTTTTATACCAGATTACTGGCCTATTTTTTTTTTTAAAAATTTCCAGACAAACCTTAAATTAACCATTACAACATTTGTTGTTTATTTTGTCGCTGCCTTTTGGCTTAGTGAGTTAGAGAGTCTGTAAAAGAAGAAGAAAATGATCTTACCTTTCTATATTTATAAAAATAATTATGATAATAATAAGACCATTTACAATGCGCCAAATTCCACTCTAGTCAATGATCATGGCGCCACATTATTATTGATAATTTGTTACCCCGATTTTCGATACATGCACTTGCTGCAATTTTGCAGGAATTTTGTATTAACTCTTTCTCACTGCGAATAGCTGTAAAGCTGCTGATATCGATGTGACAAACAGCAATATCTATTAATTCCTTTATTCTTTTATGTTTTGAAAATACAATAATATTTAACTCGAAGGTGAACGAATATGAAATCCATTTCCATTACATTTCATTGATGACTTTTATATGTAACACTGGCCTCCTTGCAACTATGCTTGTCGTAAGCGGCGACTAACGGGATCGGGTGGTCAGGCTTGCTGACTTGGTTGATGCATGTCATCGATCCCAATTGCGTGGATCGATGCTCATGATGTCATTCACTGGATTGTCTTGTCCAGACTTGATTATTTACAGACCGCTGTCATAAAGCTGGAATATTGCTGAGTGTGGCGTTAAACAAACAAACAAAAAAACAAATCATCAGTCCCATTTAGTTACAACAGCCACTGTTTTATGTCAATCTGTTGATGTCCTTCATAAGTACAGAAATATCTTTGAAAAATCAAAGAAAACAACATGTGTCAATCCTTAATTATTCTGCTAATATGTACCTCCATTCTGTTTGAGAAATCCACTGGACCCAATTGCTACCATAGCTGTTTGAGATGGCAAAAACATTGCGAGTCAAATTATGGTTGTAACGCTGCTTGTTTTAATCAAGAAAGAACCATGTAATTTGATTTGACATCTATTTTTAGCGTTGTCTTTTGAACTGAATTCAAACCATGGCTATGGTCCCGATCCTGGTTAGATAACACCCGTGAAGATCCGGGGTAGAAGAGGTCTTCAGCATCCCATTCTTGCCATAAGAGACAACTATGCTTGTCATAAGAGTTGACTAACGAGATCGGGTGGTCAGACTCGCTGACTTGGTTGATACATGTTATCGTATCCCAATTGTGTAGAACGATATAGCTGGGATATTGCTGAGTGTGGCGTTAAACAACAAATAAACAAACTGTGGTTGCCAATGGGTCCGGGGTATGTGATAACAGAATGGAGAATATTATGATACACTAGATAATCGAGGATGATAATTGTGACTTGCAGTGGAGGATGATTGTCAGCCTGACATCAAGGAGATGCTGAAGAAGAAGAAGCGAGTGTTTGAGGCGCCACGGGCCCAGAACTACTACCACATAGAGTACTACCTGCTTCCAGATGAAGAGGAACTCACCAAAACCGATATCGTCACGTACGGCATGGCAGCCAAGATCTACATGGAGAGACATGACCCTAGGGTCATCAAGACGTGGCATGATGGAGACGTCACGTGGGTGGCCTGGGCCAACACGTAAGTAGTCTCTCACAGCTCTGTTTGTTATTTAACGCGGCACACTCCACATTATTATGCCTCAAAGTGAGATTGACCAATCAGAGAGCAGAACTACTGACCCCACGTGAGCCCGTATACCGTCAGTAAAAATCCAAGATGGTTGATACTGACCTAATATGAGACCGTATACAACCGTCAGTAACAGCCATCTTGGATTTTTCAACACCCACCTCACATATTTCACATGGAATTCTGGTACAGAAATTCGTTATTTGACACAGTTTTGTGTTTTGATATAATTAATTTTCATGTGCAAGGACGTTCATGTTTTTTGGATCAGGTTCATGACTTTAATAAGATAATATAAAGTTAAAATTATCAACACAGTTTGGCCTCTGAGGTTTGAAGATTAGTCTCCCTTTGACCCTTACGTCTTGTAAGTGTTAAGTTTTCAGTTTTAAGTTTTGACATGACGTGTGACAAAGATACCAAATAGTGTAAATTTTTCGGCATAATAAATTTGTTATGGGGTCTTTAGTTGCCGTATACAGTGTCATAATAGGTTAGCAGAAAACTATTGGGCACTAACCTAATATGACACCATATATGGCAACTAAAGACACCATTCATATAGCCACCTCTTACAAACATAGGATGCTTGGGACCAATGTTAACCAGGAATCCCTGTCAGTCCAGGGACTGAAACATTTTGTTGAATCAGTCTTTCCTTTTTCAAAACATATTGTTTACCTAAGTAATTCAACTTATTCCTCATTCTTAAGATATCATTTACTAAAGTAATTCCTTATTCAAAAGACATTGTTTATTCAAATAACTTCTTATCACAATCATGATAATAATATTGTTTGCTCAACATCCTCAAATATATATATATATTCTTTTTCACAACATTATTTACCCAAAATATATTGTTTACTCAAATAAGTCTTTATTTTAAATATGTTGTTTACTCAAATAATTCCTTATTCTCAACATGCTAAATATGTTGTTTATGCAGGCTAAAAAAAATAATAGTCTTGGCATCATCATAGAGTCTGCCGCACGTTTTTCATCCTTGTGTTCTGGGAACCACCAGCGGTTGTTACAGACAAATAGAATAGATAGAACATTTATTTAGCACTAATATAATCTATCTATATGTAAAATAATCTTTGATATTTTCTTCAGAACATATATACACATTTAACATATTGTTTTCTCAAAGTATTCCTCCTTCTTCCACCTCGATACTCAAGTCTGATATGAAATGTGTGACATCCCAAGAAGGAACCAATAAAAACTATGATGAGGATGTTATCCTAATTACAAGCGTCTTAAGAAAAATATGACCAATCCCACCCGCCCCACACCCCAGTGATAAATGACCAGTCCCTTCCTACTGCAATAAATCACTTTCCTATATGGGCAATCATTCACTGTGTTAAGTTTTGATGAAAAAATAATTTATAGTATTTAACTTTCTAAAATATTATTAGGGGCGGTCGGGTAGCCTAGTGGTTAAAGCGTTCGCTCGTCACGCCGAAGACCCGGGTTCGAATCCCGACATGGGTACAATGTGTGAAGCCCATTTCTGGTGTCCCCCGCCGTGATATTGCTGGAATATTGCTAAAAGCGGCGTAAAACCATACTCACTCACTCACTAAAATATTATTGACCACATATGGATAAGAATCGTTTTATGATAAGAAAACAACATAATATCTATATTCAAAAATCAGTAAAAACAAGTTGCACAGTGATTATAAAAAATCATACCAGCAGACCCCCTTATTCCCAACCGAGAAATTCCACAACCAACTTAAAGCTCTTGATACTACTGTCGTACCCATTCAAAAGAGTTTGTCGCTTGTCGTGCATCTGCAGGCAAACCTATTTAACAGAATATATCAATAGCACAAGAAGAGACCCAAATAAAACTTGCAGTAACTGTTTACCAAGTAGCCTTTGTGTCATTTTTTCCCGGGCATTGGGGTAGCCTATTGGTTTAAGCGTTGGCTCGTCCGGCTGAAAACCCGGGTTCGATTCCCATGGGTACAAGGTGTGAAGCTGATTTCTGGTGTCCCACTGCCGTGATATTGCTGGAATATTGCTAAAAGCAGTATAAAACCTCTCATTCACTCACTCACCCACCCACCCACCCCCACTCACTCACTCACTCACTCACTCACTCACTCACTCACTCACTCACTCACTCACTCACTCACTCACTCACTCACTCACTCACTCACTCACTGTACTGTACTGTTTTGTCCCTGTCTCATTTCAATACAAATGTTTAATACCAGTGAATGTAATCACAGTAATGTACCCTCAAACATAACAACACTCATTAAGTGTTCTTGTGTAGTATGAATGGAATTAATGTGCGTTTTAGTAGCTGAAAGTTCTTTGATGTTCCACAGTGCATGAATGGCATGGGTAATTGAGTAACTCTACACGCTGCAGTGACTGCTTGGCATGTTGTATGACAAAGATAATGGAGTTAATACCATGAACCTACTTTCAGAAGTTGCACCTTTTAACTTCCTGTTATGACTCAATTGTACTTGCTCAGTGGAATTCCCAAGCATTAATGTTTGGTTGGTATCTTTTTCCAGTTGTTTATAGTGGCTGGGGGGTAGTCGAGTGGTTAAAGTGTTCGCTTGTCACACTGATGCCTGGGTTCAAATGCCCACATGGGTACAATTTGGGAACCCGTTTTTGGTGTCCCAGACATTATATTGCTGCAATGTTGCTAACGGTGGCATAAAACTTTATTCTCTCACTAACTGTATATTGCCATCTATAAAGTGACCCAACATATAAGGTGACCCCCTCTGTACAAGCCTTCAAAATCAATGCTAATCTATATACCCTAAAAATGTGATTGTCTTCAACAGAAAAAAATTACATCGTATCCCTTCAGTGAATTCAGGGAAACAAACAGGGGATTCAGGGAAACAAACAGGGGATTCAGGGAAACAGATAGGGCATTCGGGAAATAAATGGGATTCAAGGAAACAAATAAGGCATTCGAGGAAACAATAGGGATTCAGGGAAACAAATAGGGCATTTGGGGAAACAAATGGGATTCAGGGAAACAAATAAGGCATTCGGGGAAACAAATGGGATTCAGGGAAACAAATAGGGCATTTGGGGAAACAAATGGGATTCAGGGAAACAAATAGGGCTTTCGGGGAAACAAATGGGATTCAGCAGCGTTAGAAATTGGCACTAGTCCTGTAGTCCTTACCAAACAGCCCAATAGTAAAGGTATCCTAAGGACTAGTAGAAATTGGCCCATTTTAAGGGTTTGGCTATATGTTATCATTATAAGGACTAGTGGACAAAAACTGTTAGTTTCTAACCCTGATTCAGGGAAACAAATAGGGGGTCCAGGGAAACAAACATGGGATTCAGGTACAATTCTCTCTTGATTACCCATGATGATAATTTTAGGTGTGATTCAAAGTGAGAAAACCCTTCCTCATGCAGGGCGTGATAATGAAGACCGAATCCTATCATGCTCACCATCATATTGTGGTAGGTCCGAATCCAATTTACGTGATGATTCACTTAGGCAATCTCAAGACAGTAAACTCTGCTAGCTATGACACTTAGTGTGGGTTTCAAATGGGCTTATCTTGAGTCCACCAGTACCAAATGTCCAAGAGAGTTTGTGGCATGTTGTGGGTCAATCATGTTAGCTGTCCTTGAAACAACTAAAGGGTAAACATGTCAGCACTATTATCATAACAAGTTTTAGTTGGGGGAAAAACGCTTTCTTATTAAAGTACAGATTCAAGTACGTTTCTGGGTTGAGTCCCACCTGGGATTTGAACCCACACTGCCAGAGTGAGGCACCTAATCACAATCACACGAAGTCAGCGATCTAACCAGCTTCCACAAGAAGTGAAGTCTGACAACTGATAGTCTAGATCGCTGACTTTGTGTGCTGGCGATTAGGTGCCTCACTCTGGCAGTGTGGGTTTGAATCCCAGATTGGACTCAACCCCAAAAAGTACGAGAATCTGTACTTTACCAAGAAAGTGTTATCCTAAATACAACACTTGTTACATTTGACCACTTTCTAAAAGGCATTGTGTTTTCACTATAATCAAAATGATAGGACTCAAATTTGTCAAACAAAAATCATAAATATGAAACCAATCTCATTAAAATCAGATCTTAGTTCTCGCTACCGCTAAACAAAGATCTGAGGACATCCCATTATGGGTCACATCAGACCGACCTTGCGCAAACTTTGACTGAGCAATGGAATGACCAATCAGAAGGCAGCTTTCTCGTGCTTTACGGCACTAATTTCAAATTGGTCACTACTCTTCGAAACATATTTTGACAAATTCTCGATTACAGATTTGAAACCTGAACAAAAGAACATTCTGGAATGGCAAATAGATGGTCTAGATTGTATGGATTCAGTCATTAAACCTGTAACTATCGTTCGGAGTTAAAGTTTTCAAGGTTGCATGATTAGAAATCACATTCCGACTGTCACTTTCATAATCTGGTAAATGATGCTCCGATTGGTCAGATGAAAGGTCGTTCTGACGTGACCCCTAATGGGATGTCCTCAGATCTTTGTTTAGCGGTAGCGAAAACTGAGGTCTGATTTGAATGAGATTGATATGAAACGTGTTTAAAATCATTTTCTCAGAACAACAAGCCAAAGGGAGTTCAAACATGTAGGATACGCAGGAACACAGATGTCCCAGGGCTTATTCATGGACAGTGAATTGTAATTCTTTCATCTCAGTCATCTGCTAGGTCTTAGGCACTTCAATTCGCTGTGCCAGAATCTGATGATTATGAGTTTGAATCCCACATTTGATGTTTCAAGGTTTGTCAGCACCCATGCTTACGCGTTTCCCCAATGTGGTGCCGTCATATAGCTGGAATATTGCTGAGTGCGGCGTAAAACAACCAACCAACCAACCAACCCACCCACTGTGGTAAATGTCATTGCTTCACTTGGTGCTTCACTTCCACAGTAAGCTGACACACTGTGATATACCGTATTCGACATAATAAGCGCCCAGGGCGCTCTCAAAATTAGAAATAGGGAGCTCTTATTAGAAAATTATTTTGGTGGAAAAAACAGAGTTGAAAGATAACATTCGTGGTTAATGCTGACAGCCTGAAATGTTTATATACGACATATATATTTTTCCAGAATTTAATTGCCCATAATTCAGGATGCATATAACACACAAATGCGTATTATACACGAATATATAAATCTTTTGTACATCGATCAATCGGAAGGGGTGCTGATTATATTAAGAAATATCGCTGTGGGCGCTTATTAGAGCCGAATATTACCGAATATGGTAACTGGAATACTGTTCAAAGCTTTTGTGAAAGAAAACAAGGTGGGTTTTAGACTACTGACAGACTCGCATGTTCTTTGCAATCTTGTTGTTAATCATGATTTCCTGATGAGTGATCACATTTGAGCTGTTTTCCTCTCAAGAAATCTGTAAATGGACACAGTTATGTCTGGTAACCTTATATCTCAAACTTGACAGTTATAATGACATTTTGACTATGCTTGCTTTCTGCACTCCTTCCACAATACATTACTAAACTTAACCATCCAGTTTTTGTGTTATTTGAAATAACAAACAATGAACATGATATTAACTGATATTTAATCAGTGATATTGCCAAAGACAAATGGTAATAGGACATTTTCATTTTGATAGGTTGATTGGATGACATCTAGTCAGTGTCCTAGGAAATGAATCGATCTGAAAGCCTGTTGGCTATTCCTGTTGGTAAATAATATAAAAGTGAAATGTGTTAAATAACTGATACCGTTTCTTACCAGCTGACACTCGCACCCTCATTTGTGACAAATAGATCAGATAGGACCCATGTATAGCATGACTGTATTATCACGGGCATCAGTAAATCTCGTAATCTACATCCCCTGTCCACTGTTTAATGTTTTTGAAGTGCCCCTACCTCCATTCGAAATTGGTTAGAAAAGAATCCACTTGTTTGGACAATGTCCTTTGACCCAACCTAGGTCGCATGAATACTGATTATATATGCAGAATCCAAAACAGGAAGTGATGTAAACCACATAATCCAACGTATCACAAACAAAATGGTGATAGCACGATAATATAGAGTTGCCCGCCCTTGGGTCGCCAATGACAGGTACTTTGTTTAACGAACTTGGTAAATAAAATAAGCATCGATCAATCCTAACTGATGTGTCATAAGCGGCTTTAAACCCAACTCACTCACTCACCCTATGTGAGGCTTAGAACTTATCAATCAACCCTTGTATTTCCTGGTAAAAAGTGTGATGACATCTGAAACTCCTATGAGTGAGTGAGTGAGTGAGTGAGTGAGTAGGCTTTTAGGCCGCTTTTAGCAATATTCCAGCAATATCACGGCGGGGGACACCAGAAATAGGCTTCACACATTGTACCCATGGAAACTCCTATGACAGTTTAACTGCATCTGATAATAATGAAGTAGTCAGTTGAAGATGTTTTTCACGATATTTGATTCCAAATGAGATGAAATATAAAAAATATGAAAATAGGACTTTTTAGACAGATGTACAGTACTTTATTAAAACCGATCTATAAATGTTTGATGACACAAGGGCAAAAAGAAACATGAACCTGCTTAGAAAACAGTTTTAGTCAATTTAAATAATCAAAATGAAAGCCATGTTATTGCCACCACTAGGGAGGTGTCGGTACATGCACTGGGACTGAACAGAACTGAAACGGAATGAAATGATTCCCAATACATCAAAATAAGTGTCTATGAAAAGTCTGATGTGAAGATTATTAATCCATGTGGAGTGGGAAAAAATAAAAAATATATGGATATCAATTTCCTATCTGAATCAGTCATGTCTCAGCCTGTGTGGGGCCTATCAGTCATCACGGAACATGACTACGTTAGTCTCTGTAACCGAGATGTTTGATACAAGTAAACATTTCATCCAATTTATGACTCTATTGCAGTCACTCGGGGAGTTCTTGACAATAATCAATACTATTGTACACCATCAGATAAAAGCAAAATTGGACTATGTTCAACTTTTATCTGATTGCATTTTTTCGGGATCCATTGTACGATCTGTTCCTACACTGGCCTTCATTTACCTTTGACATTATTGGATGGTGGTCGTAAGGCTTATCTAACTGGGATTTTCTTTTACAGTTTTGTGGTAAATTCGTAGATAATGGAATTTTAGGTACAGTTTTCTTTTGGAAAATGCTGACAGTTAAACAGTGCAGAAGGCCGCCCTGTCTAGATGCAAACTAGATGGAATTAGACCGTAGGAGTAACATAATTAGCCACAGTCGGCGAAATTGAGATGAGGAAAGCTATTGGAGTTTTATATTAGATTTAAGTTGTTAATAACCTACATGGTGGGGAGAGACAGTAGCTGTTGGCTTTAATCACCGTCCGTCTTAATGGAATCTATAAATACCGTCAAATTTATTGCAAAAATTAAATTACTATCGGTGAAATTATACAAGCTGTGATAAGGGATTTGTATTCTCCCAAACCGACGTCCATTCTGCATTGTCTGATTTTGCTGAGCTGATCCATCGTCCCGTGGGATGGACTTCCTTAAAAGCCGAGACTTTGGAAGTGACTTTCTGCCTATCCTATTGCAGTAGAGATGGCTATTCCCTTCTTCTGACTGATATTGTGTCATATCGGAGAGGCAGGCTTCACACAACAACTATGAATACCGACAGCTATTGATTTTGCGGGTGTAATTGCTATGATAAACATTCATTTCTCCTGGCCTTTCGTGCCTCCGTGAGCAATTATTTTCAATTATTTCATCACAGTGTATGACTTTCCCCATCGATCATGCTAGTTGTTTGTAAACGAGCCTTAAGAACAATGAGGTAAAATTACCATGTTTACTTCCACAGACACATTGTGACAGTGACAACGGATGTGCTTCTCAAGATGTTTAACCACAAGCTTGAACTCCGTGTATGGGACACAAAGGATAAAGTCTCCACCAGAGCTAGATTTGATCGGCCGAAGGCTTTCCGACTCCCACAAGCAAAAGCAGGTAGGAGATTAAACAGTTCCTCTGTTTGCTCTCATAGTTAGTTGGCAAGGGGGACAGGCATGAATTCTTTCCTGAAAGGATTTCTATAATGTTCCTTGAAAGTGTTTCGGAATCTGCTGCAGCTTTTAAGGAGCGAACAAGGCTGGCGGTTTCCCCACACAGTTTGAGCGCATAGAAACATAAGGGTTTAATTTTTAAGTTTACCAGCTAATCCATGTCCTAAACATCTAGCTGGGTATTGGTTAATCATTTAGCAGATGAAAGACTGAGGCAGTGTGGACCCCTGTAAGTAAACAGCAGATTGTTTCTGCATTTGCATAATTTGAAATTCACGCTAGTCTGTTAGATCAAGACCACTAAATTTGGCTGAGGGCAAATGAAAATCCAATGATGGTGGTCCTCACTGACTTGTAGCATTTGAGGGCTATAATTCTTTTTCTACAAACTGATAGGAAATCTAAATGTTTTTGTCTCATTCAAGAGGACTAGCTACAAACTCTGAGGACTAGTGACATCAGGTTTTCACTAGTGTTCGGAGTAGTACAACAAAATAGGATGAATAACTCAGTAACTATTTTATTATTTCTTGCAACTTTGGTCTTCATCCCTTGATACAGTTCAAGTGTTTATTCTGTTCTTCTGACAACCTAGGGCGGTCGGGTAGCCTAGTGGTTAAAGCGTTCGCTCGTCACGCTGAAGACCCAGGTTCGATTCCCGACATGGGTACAATGTGTGAAGCCCATTTCTGGTGTCCCCCGCCGTGATATTGCTGGAATATTGCTAAAAGCGGCGTAAAACCATACTCACTCACTCTGACAACCTCTCAATACAATATGTTGTGAAGATCTGTGTAAATTAGAATAAAAAATAGCCTACATCTTACCATCATTCAGGAGGTAAAGCTTAGTTTTCAGCTTAATGTGGGAGGAAAGCCCGAAGTGATGCAGGTCTCAGACGTTTACCACTTCGGTGAAACCCACAGGCACGGGTATGGTGCTGACAAACCTAGAAACATAATCGGGGCGAACCGGGATTCGAACCCACAATCATAGGTTTCTGGCGTGCCCAAGGGACGACTGGGCCACCCGTGCCCCCCCTGTGTATTTATAAACAATTATTCCTTTTCATTCCATTATCCTTTTGAGAATCTCACTAGCCTTGGCCCTGCTGACCAGCATTATGATTACCTTCACCAGAGTGGTAAATGTCAAGACTTTTGGCCCTCCCATATGACTAAGCTGACATACTCTGATATAATTAAAATCGTGTTCAAACAGCGATGAACCCATCTGAATGAAATGTTGACAATGAAATTTGGATGTTCTCCTTTTACCTATTACTTTAGAGGACACAAATATATTGTCAAGTACCGTATTCGACGTAATAAGCACCCACGGCGATATTTGCTAATATATTGGCTAGTGAACAATCTCAGTTAGAACCCTTTCCTATTGATCAATGTACACAAGACCTATTTATTCGTGTATAATACGCCCTCGTGTGTAATAAGCACCCTCAATTATGGGCAATTAAATTCTGGAAAAATATATCTGTCGAATATGAACATTTCAGGCTGTCAGCATAAACCACAAAATTTATCTTTCAACTCTGTTTTTTCACCAAAATAATATTCTAATAAGAGCTCCCTATTTCTAATTTTGAGAGCGCCCTGGGCGCTTATTACGTCGAATACGGTATTACACAGATTTTTAAAATATTAAAGAAGTTGACATCCATAAATTCTGCTTATGTGTATCACTTCTAAATGCCTTTTTAAGATGTATTTAGTGTGTTGAAATAGTTTCAACAGTATCTTGTTTTGGGGACATTGCAGCTGACATATATATATAATAACAGTTAATGATTATTAATATTTCCCAGTTGTTATAACAATAAATACTTTACGTAATAATGTTTTATATAAATTTGTATATCAATCTTAATAGGTGAAGTAAATTGGGGATTAACGTCACATTCTAGATTATTTCACTTAGCAGAGTACATTCATGTCTGCTCATACTTTTTTTGGCTTAAGCCGGTTTTATAGTGCTAACCCACTGAGATACCATGCCCAGTTTAACATGAATACACCACGACAGACACAGTATACTGACTCCAAGCCGACCGGTCCTTGTTTTAGCCCCCCTGGGTGCCAGGCTGGGTAACAACAAGTACCATCGTCTTTTGGTATGACGCGGCAAGGGGTCAATCTTAATTACCCAACAGAACCCAAACATATTCTTCGGTGAAATAAGGAAACAATTATTGGATCCATGTTTTAGAAGCATGGTAAGGATTGTGGGTGGCATTAGAATTCTAACTATTTACAGTAGATCTTGTGTTTCACTCTGCTTGGGGGGGGGCATGGGTGGCACAGTCATCTAAGGCGCCGCGATTCGCTGTGCAGAGTTGCGTCCCTTGGGCACGCCAGAAACCTATGATTGTGGGTTCGAATCCCGGTTCACCCCGATTATGTTTCTAGGTTTGTCAGCACCATACCCGTGCTCGTGGGTTTCACCAAAGTGGTGAATGTCTGAGACCTGCATCACTTCGGGCTTTCCTCCCAGATTAAGCTGACACGCCGTGATATAACTGGAATACTGTTAAAAGCAGCGTTAAACCCAACTCACTCACTCACTCACTCTGCTTGGGTGGACAAGGAGGTGCCATCTCATTAAAATCACATGTTAGCACTCACTACTGCTACACAAAGATTTGAGGATATCCCATTACAGGTCACGCCACAACAACCTTTCATCAGACCAATCAGAGCATTGATTATGGGATCGCGAAAGTGAAAGTCTGAGAAAACGTTAACACAGGGCATTCTAAAAAACAGCTACGGGCTGTACGACTCAACGTACTAGATATTAGGAATATCACAATATGACTATTACCTAATACAATACGTATCGCAATACATGAATTTTAATTAATATGTAGGTAGGCAGAGCTCCAGATAAGCTGCGTATCTGCGTAAAATACGCATCAGAAATGCAGAAATACGCAGTAAAATAAAATCCAAGCGTATCAAATACGCAACGAACATTACAGATACGCTACAAAAATAAAACTTGTGCATATCATCAAAATATTGTGAAGTAACCCTGCGTATTCGATTGGCAAATCAGCAACTTATTTTGAAATTATAAACGGGCATTCTGTCAACCTTGCCAAACTCCACAATGACAGTTACATCATGATCATTTGCCATCACACTTTCTTGTGGAAGTATTGTGGTATTTTTGAGTCCTTTGAAGCTCTCGAACCCACACGACACCAGTTTGCAGGAACTAGATGAATAGTGTTTTTAAATATTTAACTTAAATACCCACATGTGTAAAAACTAGTGGGTAACCGAAATTTGAATACCCAGATAGAATTACTGATACCCAATGATTTTAAAATGCATGGGTAAAATACCCTCAACACCAAAAGCTTATCTGGAGCTCTGAAGTAGGACAACAAAGTCATTCCATTGCTGTTTTAAATGTTCCATGTGTGAAACAATACAGGATTAAAATATGAATCAAAACAAATAAGTGTGTATCGTGTATCGAATTGTCCGAGAATATTATGTCCATGCATCGATACGTTGGCGAATCGTCACATCCCTACTCGGCATGGAAATGACAGGCTTAGTAAGACATTTAAAACGAAAGAGTCTTTCCATGTCCTGTGGTAAGTACTGCCATATATTCTCAGCCATCTATTGGACATTCCAGAATGTTCTTTTGTTCAGTTTCTCAAACTATTTTTCAAAGCGTACTCCTGAAAGCTAGTACAGTAAAGCTCAAGAGTGGATAATGTTGAATTCCTGTTCGTCATTTCATTGGTCGGTCAAACTTTGCAAAAGGTCGTACTGACATGACCTGTAATTGGCTATCCTCAGATCTTTGTTTAGCGGCAGTGAGCTCTAAGATATGATTTCAATGAGATTGAAGAAGGTCTGGCTACAGGGATCCATGAGAGCCATGTGTTACTGATATTGAAATGGCTGTCATGTTCAGATATACTTTTTGTGCTGTTTTGTCACTCTTTTCCACTTTGTGTATTATTTGGATGTGCTTTTCATTCTGAAGGCAAACAACCACCCTGTGGTAAGTGTTGGAGCTGAAGTAGTAGAACTGGAACATGGTAGAAATAGACTTGACACAAATACATTTTTTCTAATGTACTTTTATAGCATGATGTCTTCTTGTCTGCAGTTTAAATGACTGTGTAGGTAGACTCATAAACCTTTAATACAGTGGGACAGGAGTAGTCGAAAATAACATAGTATTGATAGTGATAGGCATAGTAGTGAGACTCGTGAAGATCCAGGGAAGAATATGTCTTCAGCAACCCATTCTTGCAGTAAAAGACAACTGTGCTTGTCGCAAGAGGCGACCCCCGGGATTGGGTGGTCAGGCTCACTGACTTGGTTGATGCATGTCATCGAATCCCAATTGCGTAGATCGGTGATCATGATGTCAATCACTGGATTGTCTGATCCAGACTCGATTATTTACAGACCGCCATCATATAGCTGAAATATTCCTGAGTGCAGCGTTAAACAAGATAGCATTGTCGATTTAACTGCTGGCCTATTGGCCTGTGGCCAGTTAAAATTATGAAGGGCTTGCTGAAATGTCAAGTAGAATGGCCTGCCCGGTTTCACCCCTTCTCCGTGTATGTTCAATTTTTTTAATTGGACACTGCTTGATGAAAAGTTTTAGTGGACATGAGGTTGTGTGAATGGTTAACTCAAAGAAAGATATACGTCGATCATCTCGATTGTATGACAACTGACTGCCATTTTGTAAAGTTTGTCCCATAAGTCACCACCCAATGAGGCTAATAGAAGCCAAGATTTAACCTCCGAGGGCGGGAAAAGGCGTTTTAAGGAGGAGTTATAAAATTTTTTGATCCATGCAAGGTGGTTTACACAACCTCAGGTTGTGACCAGTCGTAGGCCAGTTGTAGGCCAGTTGTAGGCCAGTTAGTTTGGAAAAGGGCCAGTAACTTTTAAAAGGAGCAAGCCCTATTGTTAAATCAACACTGTGATAGTGAAAGGCATATGACATGTATGACCCTGCCTGTGTGAAGATAACAGACTCAGAACGGAAATGAAATCCCAAGATGACGAATTCAAAGGGACCACTTATTTTAGTTTGTTATAACCGTAGTTCTGCAGGAGCATATATACAGCATATATAAAGCATATATACAGCATATATAAAGCCAATGGCCGGGACCTAGTCCTGCACCATGACCGTGGAATATATTTATTTTATCAAAAAAAATAATCTAGTAATGCATACAAAAGCAAGTCTAGCCAGCTCAAGCTAGCTCTATTCCACAAATCAACATAGGGAATTTTTTTTAATTTTTAGAGTCAAGAAGGATATTGTGTAATATAAAATTTCAGAGACTAAATGTTAGTCTAGCCGGGACCCAAAACAGATTGTTATATCTGTCAGTTATTTTTAAGCATGTTCGTTATAAACACAGTTTACTGTACTTTACCTACGATAGCCTTAACACTAAAATCACTTTGTGTAAGTGGGCCCTGGCTGGTGTAGCGTGTGTTCATACCCTGACATCTGATGCTGTGTGGAGATGATGCAGACCGCGGTGTCAAACTCCCTCCCCACATTGCTCCCATGCGTTGTACCTAGCAAATATGTCTGAGCCCACTCTTATCATGATGATCTGATGTCAGACAAACAAAAAAACACCTTGCGTGATTTCCCAGAAGGGCATTAACATTACACAATGTGGCAATTTGCAGACTGAACATAGATTTATTTGGACATTTTTTAATAAACTGGCCACAGGAAATTACGACAAAAAATCAGGGTTGGAATTAAATCTAAAAAAATGTTCAAAAAGTGCCCAGGTTTATATGAAGAATCCTGTTTATATCCCGGAGTATTGATTCCAACTTCATGACCAAGCCTTGCCTCCAGTTTGTAGGACGACTGTTACTTGCCCCACAATCTATGATATTTATCTAAATCACTTGCTTCTTGGAGAACACTTTATTATTGGCCATGAGAGAGTGTACAACTAGACAAGCCCTACAGGCTATGAGGGGCATCGCTTGACGGCAGGCTCGGAAGATGAACGGCGACGTAGAATCAATATGTGCAACAAGTTTGGATTTTGATTTGTTGAAGTGAAGGATATTGGGATGGGTGTGAAATTGTTGTGTTAGACATTTTGTAGTTTGGATTGATTTGATTTGGGGTGGAAATGTGCTGCTTTGTGTGAGGTAAGTTTTATTTTGAGATGTAGACTGCTTTCTTTGTCTTTGCATTTTCTTATTAATATGTAGATATGTAGAAATGGACACTAAATGTTCTTTGACGTGTGTTAAAATCAGCTCTTGTTTCCAGTAATTCTTTATTAGTTTTAGTCATACATGTCTTAAAGTGTGGCCCAAGACATGCCAATTAATAATAATTCAGCTTAAATAACAAGAGCATATGTTGCAGTTATAAATAAGATAACAAAGATTTTAACAACAGAATGTACTATTTATTGCCGCTGCTTACTGCTTACTGTTCCAGAGTAGAATAGGTCTTTACCAACCTTGCTTGCCGTTAAAGGCGACTAGGCGACTAATGGTATCAGGTGGTCAGGCTCGCTGACTTGGTTTGATGCCTGTCATCATATCCCAATTGAGATCGATGCTCATGATATCAATCACTGGATTATCTGGTCCAGACTCGATTATTTACAGACCGCCCTCATATAGCTGGAATATTGCTGAGTGCGTCGTTAAACAACAATAGGTCAAATCTTACTCACATATTACCTTTGTTGCAGTAAATAATTCATTCCTTGTGTCATGTCTTTGTACAGCTTATACTACTCATGCACACATATTGTGATGGTCATGCAGCTCATATACTACAGCCCATGCATGTTTTAGGCTACTAACGGGATCAGGTGGTCAGGCTCACTGACTTGGTTGATGCATGACATCATATCCCAATTGCATAGATCGATGCTCATGATGTCAATCACTGGGTTGTCTGGTCCAGACTTGATTATTTGCAGACCGCCGTTGTATAGCTGGAACATTGCTGAGTGCAGCGTTAAACAACAAACAAACAAAACAAAGCTACAGTCCTTGCATACAGATTGTGCAGCTCATTCAAGCTATGTGCACACCATACAGTTAAAACCCATTAAACAAAGGACATACAGTTCCTACAGCACATACAGATCATTCAATCTGCATAACAGAATCAGCTCATGCAAATCACCTAGCTCATACTTCTATGATTCATACACCCTACATAGCAACCATACCACACATACATACAGCCATTAATTAATATTTTCACTTATCTGCATAAACAATGGCAAATTATTTGTTTCAGATTTGCCATATTCAAATTTAGAGTGGTAGTACACAAGGCAGTGTTACTAGTCCCTGACAGCTCATTGTGCTCCTACAGCTCTAGGATTCATACCACCCATACAGCAGCCATACCATCCATACAGCAGCCATTCCACCAATACATACAGCTCATTGTGCTCTCACAGCTCTAGGATTCATACCACACATACAGCAGCCATACCATCCATACAGCAGCCATACCACACATACAGCAGCCATACCACACATACAGCAGCCATACCACACATACAGCAGCCATACCATCCATACAGCAGCCATACCACACATACAGCAGCCATACCACACATACAGCAGCCATACCACACATACAGCAGCCATACCACCCATAGAGAAGCCATACCACACATACAGCAGCCATACCACACATACAGCAGCCATACCATCCATAGAGAAGCCATACCATCCATAGAGAAGCCATACCACCCATACAGCAGCCATACCACCAATACAGCAGCCATTCCACCCATACAGCAGCCATACCACACATACAGCAGCCATACCACACATACAGCAGCCATACCACACATACAGCAGCCATACCATCCATAGAGAAGCCATACCACACATACAGCAGCCATACCACACATACAGCAGCCATACCACACATACAGCAGCCATACCACACATACAGCAGCCATTCCACCCATACAGCGGCCATTCCACCCATACAGCGGCCATACCACACATACAGCAGCCATACCACACATACAGCAGCCATACCACCCATACAGCAACCATACCACACATACAGCAGCTATACCACACATACAGCAGCCATACCACACATACAGCAGCCATTCCACCCATACAGTGGCCATTCCACCCATACAGCAGCCATTCCACCCATACAGCAGCCATTCCACCCATACAGCGGCCATTCCACCCATACAGCAGCCATTCCACCCATACAGCGGCCATTCCACCAATACAGCAGCCATACCACACATACAGCAGCCATTCCACCCATACAGCGGCCATTCCACCCATACAGCGGCCATACCACACATACAGCAGCCATACCACACATACAGCAGCCATACCACACATACAGCAGCCATACCACACATACAGCAGCCATACCACACATACAGCAGCCATTCCACCCATACAGCGGCCATTCCACCCATACAGCGGCCATACCACACATACAGCAGTCATACCACACATACAGCAGCCATACCACCCATACAGCAACCATACCACACATACAGCAGCCATACCACCCATACATACAGCTCATTGTGCTCCTACAGCTCTAGGATTCATACCACCCATACAGCAACCATACCACCCATACATACAGGTCATTGTGTTCATACAGCTCTAGGATTCATACCACCCATACAGCAGCCATACCACCCATACAGCAGCCATACCACCCATACAGCAACCATATCACACATACAGCAGCCATACCACCCATAGATACAGCTCATTGTGCTCCTACAGCTCTAGGATTCATACCACCCATACAGCAGCCACACCACTCATACAGCAACCATACCACCAATACATACAGGTCATCATGATGTACAGTTGCTGTAATTCAGAAACTACATGTGTGTTTTGTTGTCTACCTACAGGCGAGGACCTTGATGAGATCGGTGGGGTGAAGGCTAGCGTGTTGAAGCAGAGCGGCAGTTTCGCATGCCTGCAGCCCAAGAAAGGGGGTGCAGTCCGTCCACTGCCGGTCACCATCACCTTCCCAAAGTTAGACAGAGGAGCCAAGAGGAAAGGTAACCTCCCATTAGTCAGACACCCATTAGCTTGACAGCTTAAAACAGCGCAATTTATTGTTGAGTGAACCGCAAATTGGTTCACGCACACAAAGTCGACTTTTGGATAATGTCAGGATCTATGCAGCAGAAGAAGAGGTTGTCATGCTGTGCATTTTCTTTTCACCACTTAACCACTGCTTCGGATTAACAATAGGATTTCTGGTTATGTTTACAAGACCCTAATCTGACTTATGTGGAAGAGTGCAACGGAATTCAAGACTACAGAAACCATATATACTGTTTTATTAGTCTGGTGGTACAACAATATCACAATATTGGGAAACATTTATCCAAGGCTCTTTTGTCATCTCCAGGCACCATCTCTCACCTTAGATCCCCCTATTTCTAACAAGGAAGTGGGCGGTCGGGTAGCCTAGTGGTTAAAGCGTTCACTCGTCACACCGAAGACCCGGGTTTGATTCCCGACGTGGGTACAATGTGTGAAGCCCATTTCTGGTGTCCCCCGCCGTGATATTGCTGGAATATTGCTAAAAGTGGCGTAAAACCATACTCACTCCCTCTAACAAGGAAGGCATGGTAGCTCTCTCCATTCCATCAAGTGTCTCCTTCACCTATGGACAAAAATTCCATGTTTTAAAAAAATTGTATACTGTATTCGACGTAATAAGCGCCCAAGGCGCATTCAAAATTAGAAATAGGGGGCTCTGATTAGAATATTATTTTGGTGAAAAAAACAGAGTTGAAAGATACATTTTGTGGTTTATGCTGACAGCCTGAAATGTTTATATACGAGAGATACATTTTCCAAAATTTAATTACCCATAATTAGGGGGGCATGCAGTTGACATACAATCATTTTTCATTTGAACGCCTTGTTGTCTCATTTTCTCTTGTTCACCCTGTACATATCGCCACCGACGCTAAGATGTCTGCCTCCACGGGACGTGGGGAGATGTTTCTGATCAAATTGTGCATTTGCCATGTTGTTTATGTCTGCTATATCTGCTTTAATTCACTTATATACCATACTTGCAGTGTCCAACCCAGGCCGCGCGATTGCGCGATTCACGCAAAAAAAGCTGTTTATCCCTCCCTTTAGATTCAATACTCACTAAATCTTTAATCAATTAACGAAAAAAGACAGTTCACAGCAAACATTGTAAACAACTGTAAACAACTGTCGAAGACCGATCGATAACAACCGGAAGTTCGAACACGAGTGACGTCCCTTGGGTTGCTGAATAAATTATCGATAGGATTGGCATAGGAAACGAAATTTGATTTACTTTAGTAGAAAACGTATCAAAACTTTGATCAAAATTATGTTGTATTTTGTTGTTTAGTAATCAAAAACCTTTGACAAGATGTTTTAAAAATATATATTCTATCTTAAATAGTTCTGAAAATATTTTTGAGCATTTTAGTTCGTTTTAGTTTCGTTTCTGAAATCACACAATATGAATCGCCGACTGTCATAGCAGACGATCTTTTGAATAGTGAATGACCATGTCGCGCAAAAACAAAAGAATTACAGACTTTTTTAATCAAAATAGAAAAAAGCACAAAGCATTGTTATTCATTTCAGTTCTTTATTCTGATCTGTTGCACTTTTATATGATGATGTTCCAGTACATAATACAAAATAAGACATTTTTGAAGAAAGCAATTATCCCCCCTCCTTTTTCAAAATCCCTCCTATTTTCTACATGATGGGGGGACAAGTCCCCCCTTGATTTTCAATTCTGGGTTGGACACTGTACTCGTAAGTGAGTTCCATTAGATGATAAGTAAGATGGTACCATGGAGTTGTACTGGATGATTGGCTACACTTATTGGTGATATGACAGGTGATTGTATACTTATTAATCAAAGTCTATTGTTTGTATTTTAATGACTAATTAGATCTATATCTAAAATGGATAGAATTAGGAGATAAACATACTGTGTTTTCAATGTAGAGCTAGGTTACCTGTAGATTTAACCCCGCTAAATTGAATTTGGAACCAAACGCGTAGCGTGAGGTTTCAAATGTTAAATTAAGCATGGTTAAATCTACAGGTAACCTAGCTCTACATTGAAAACACAGTATGTTTATCTCCATTCTACCATGACTAAATAAAACGCGAACTCTTTGGTGTTAGCTAATAAACTGAGTGAAGCGGCATGGGTTGAGTTCAGTGTTTTGAGTGGGTTATCGATCTGAATTACGGAATCGCCGAACAAAATATGGCGCTGTATATACTCAAGCAGTTTGTTTACACCATAATACTTCACTCGAACATATGACAGGCATTGAAAGTATATAAGCACGGCAACTTGGTAAGCTAACATGAGGTGGGCATCTCTAAAGAAAACAAAGCAAGCTTTGCAAGGCTTTCGCTCTACATCGCACGTCACCAATAGGACGTCATATCGCTCATTGTGACGCAAAAGATATGACGTCACAGTCGTATACAGAAAAGCGCCCAAATTCCAAGCTCTCTGTTGTCTCCAAAACGTAAATACATTCCCTTTGTAGATTTCTATCGTGTTTTCTGCACGAAATGTACTGCCACACATCCTTTGAATATTGTAGTAACCGCATCTGTGCATTTTGTAACCTGTAATTGTAGATATAATTATTTATATATGCCTACCGACAATGACTGAAAATCGTACTATTCTATGAATATTAGCTTCCGCGGTGATTCGGCTGTCAAACCAGCTGTTTCAATCAGAGGGGGTTTATTGTGATTTAATAGCCTCTGATTGACCAATCAGAATCAAGTAAATTCCAAATTCATGGTAGAATTATCATTAAACCGCCCGCATGTTATCAGAAGTGAGCGGGCCACTGTAACATGATAATGCCCTCATATTGCCTGACGACGGGCCATTATCATGATTATCATGCCCGTTGTTAGGTGATGTCATAAGATAGGTGATGTCACGTTCAATAATGACATCATCTGGTTTGTTCTATGACGTTTTCATATTTGTAAAAGTGGGTCAGTGACATTCGTGTTGATTGCAGTTTCAAAACCGATATTGTTGTTTCTTTTTATTTGACAACAAATTCCATTCATTTTTGTTATAATATTGGTAACGCTATTTTTCAGGGCGTTATCATTTGCAGAAGCCTTCGGTCTTCTCAACTGCCCTCCTTCGTTCGACAGTAACTGGAAGACTTCGGGCTTCTGCAAATGATAATGCCCTGAAAAATAGCGTTACCCATATTTGAGTCTAAATGAAAGTGAAAGTTATATGTAATAATATTACCTATTAATCAAACGTTAAAGTTACAAGTTATAAAATTACATATCGATGCAGATAGTTCAAACATATATTAAATTAACTAAATAATTAAAAAAAATAGGTAAACTATCACAGATTTTTTTATATTAATTAATGAAACTTATTAACTAGAGCAAAATTTTAAAGTAGAATAGTACAGGGGGTATTTTAATATTTGGTAGGATAAACTTTTGAATCCTCTGTGACACAACATTAAAAATCAAAGCCCTCGCAGGTCGACCTCTGTGCAGGTTGGGAATTCAAAAGGTCGACTTCCTGCGCAGACACCAGCAAATGAACTGTTTGTTTGTTTGTTTAACCCTGCGCTCAGCAATATTCCAGACATGTGACAGTAGTCTGTAAATAATCAAGTCTGGACCGGACAATCCAGTGATTGACATCATGAGCATCGTTCCACGCAGTTGGTATAAGATGACATGCATCAACCAAGTCAGCAAGCCTGACCACCCGATCCCGTTAGTCGCCTCTTATGACGAGCATAGTCGCCTTTTACGGCAAGCATGGGTTGTTGAAGACCTATTCTAACCCGGATCTGCACGGGTCAGCAAATAAACTGACTGTTACCTCGGGACGATAATGGGATAATCCAAGACTGTGTTGAAGATTAAACTTATTCATTTTGATCATACCAATGGCCTGTTCTGTGAAGGAATCTATTACCATGTTGCGTTATGTATATTTATAACAAGCCATTAATACATACAGCTGTCATACCCTCCCTGAATAGATCGCTCTAATTAAGATAGTTCCAATACAGCTGTGGATATTGTCTGGTGTACAGTAAATTACGGTTATAACGAACTCAAAGGGATTTCTAATTTTAGTTTGTTACAACCGTAATTTGTTATAAGCATATATACAGCATAACTACAGCATATACTCGGGACTAAAAAGTTAGTTCGTTATATCCGTTAGTTCATTATAAGCGTGTTCATTATACAATGTTATAACTGTAGTCGACTGTATTTGAATTTACAACCAGGCCCTTAATGAGACTTATAACTATCTATTTAAGTACCACAGAAAATTCAGAAGGGCTCATACAAGGCACTGTATTTTATAAAGTTGATATTTATGTTAATTTTATTTCCTATGCGAGTATTGGTTTTGTTACCGGTAAGATGTGGCAGATGTCATTGAAAATATTTCAAACAGAAAATTATTTGTTCATATTGCAGTTGTATTGTTTGGTTTTTTTAATTGGAATGTTTGATTGGGATTATCACTTCAATAAGACTTTTTTTTCATGAAAGATAAAACACACACTAATTTGCCTCTGTTTCAAAAGGGTGCTCAGACAGTTTGAACTCTGTGAAAAGATATCTTTCATTCAAAATGGATCATTGACAAATGGGACTGAGTTTGTTTGAGCGATCCTCAATGACCCGTACTTGAGAGAAGCTTGAGACGGAACAGCTAGTTTGACCCAAAAAGCTGAGGTCATCATCTAAAACCAACATCACTTGCAACAATGATCCACAAGAGACACTGCCACGTTAATTAAATTTTACTAATGAAAAAGTCTCTGCTTTCTTTGTAGGCCGCTTCAGAGGTGGGGACTCGGATGACTTTGATGATGACAAGATGATGTCCGACACAGGTCAACGTGACCTTGACAACAAAGGGGAATCCCCGCGCTGCCCGCCTCAGCCTGAAGAGGCTGCCCCCAACCCCAGCCCAAACACCCTTATAGCCGTAGCTAACCGGGACCACGGAGGACAGGACGTCAGGTACTGACACATTCAATTATCGCACAGCATCCAGAACGATTTTGATTTAATTAGCAAAGACGTTCCCCAAAGAAAAAGAACATTTGCCTTTTTTTATAGGAGAATGTTAGTTTGAATTTGGTTAATTGAATAAATATCATTTGATCAGATTTTGTTTTATGACTCATAGATTATATTTTATGGGTTCTGGTGATTTATCAAATTGATTTGAAATGTCAGTTTCCTGTGAGCAAAGGATATTCCCAGAAGAGAAATAAACGTTTGCATTTTATTGTGTGTTAAGGTTTGTTTAATTGAATAAATATTATTTGATTAGATTTTGTTTTAGGATGCGTTAAGATCGACTTTTTTGGTGCAGTAAAATTGATATGGAGGTTTGAAATATATTGATTTAAAATAGCTTAGATGTAAGGACCCCGTAGGGAGTCCTCATCCCGAGCAACCGATGCTGGTCGTAAGAGGTGACTTAATGGATTGGGTGATCAGACTCTGCGACCGGGTTGATGGTGTGTCATCGTACCCTGATGGTGTGGATCATTGCATATCAATTGTCAGGTCCAGATTCGATTATTTACAGGCCGCCATCATGGAGCTGAAATATTGCTGAGTGTGGCGTTGAACAAACAATATGTACGGCTTCATAAACCAAGACTGCATTTGTATAGCCATGTGGTGATTTAGTTGTAGTGCACAATCACTGAATCCTGAAGAGCATCATACACCCATGTCAGCTTCCTATGTACAGAGAATCTCTCCGCTTGCAGGACATTCAGTCGGCTGGGCAAGCTGGCCGGAGCGGAGAGTCCCACCCAGTCCCCCAACAAGGAGCTCCGGATCAGTCAGCAGAGTGCGGAGAAGCTTCCTACGGGGAAGTCCAGGAGTCCGACCCATTCCTCCAAGTCCAAGAAGAACCAAGGACAACACAGCCCACAGGCGAGGGCACAGTCCGCCCCCCGTTGTGGAGAGATGGACGGCAAGTCTACAGGTATAATATGTGTCATATTCAAATTGTTTTAGTGACCTAGTTGACAATCTCAGAGTTGATATCTACATGCTACTGTATTTCTGTCTTTGAAAAAAATAAATAAGTGTGAATATGAGATGAAATGAATGCTGATATTTTTAGCTTCTCTGTTGATGTCAGTTACCTATGTAACTTTGTGCCTTTGCTTCATGCAGAGAGTAGTCCTGAAAAACATGTAAGATAGAGACAGCAGTGTGTTTGCATTACTTATGCTAATTATCATTGCAACATTTGTGTTATTGTTTTCATGGGGGGTCACGGGTGGCCCAGTCGTCGAAGGCGCCGTGATTCGCTGTGCAGAGTTGCATCCCTTGGGCACGCCAGAAACCTTATGATTGTGGGTTCGAATCCTTGTTCGCCCTGATTATGTTTCTATGTTTGTCAGCACCATACCAGTGCTCGTGGGTTTCACCGAAGTGGTAAACGTCTGAGACCTGTATCACTTCGGGCTTTCCTCCCACATTAAGCTGACACGCCATGATATAAAAGGAATACTGTTAAAAGCGGCGTTAAACCCAACTCGCTCACTCACTTACAATTGTTTTCATGTTAATTGACTTCCAGATAAAGGATCACTTTTTTAGCTCTTGAAACTTTGCATATTGGTCGTCGAAAATCCACAATACAGGAAGCCTAGTCTAAATATTGGTGTCATTCATAAAAAGTAAAATATTTCCTCAAGTTGCTGAACCCATTTTTATGTATAGTGAGTATGCTTTTATGCTGCTTTTAGCAAAAATCCAGCAATAGCATGGTCAGAAACTCCAGAAATTGGCTTCACAACTTGTGCCTTTGTGGGGAATCGAACCCGGGCCTTCGTGACGCGCAAACACTTTAACCACTAGGTGTCACTACCCATCTATAGTCTATATTTTTGTAGCATGTTATTAGGCTCTAAGAACACTTACAACTGCTTGTGCAACCAGGGAGCCCCCAACATCCCAGGGATCGGGAGAGCACCGTGAAGAAACGCAGCAAGAAAGCCGAAGCTGCTGTTGCAGAAGCTGCGGAGAACATCAAGAAGTTCGGCATCTGTGTCGTCCCAATCAGGATGTCGCTGTTGTTTGCAGGTGCGTGTTGAATCCCAGTGTCCCTAGAATGTTGAGACTGTCAGTGTGTGGGTAACAGACGGACCAGTCCACAAACAACATGATACCCAGCTTGAGCAGAGCTCAGTCAGCATCAGCCATACATCATGAAAACAATAGTCATGTCAACATTGTTTAGTCTGGAAGTTAATTTAAGGTACTGACGTTTACTTCAATCTCTTAAAAACTATTGGACCTACTCCAGTCAAAGTTGGTATGAGATTATTAAACAGTCATACATAACTGGATATTACATTTAAAGAAAAATGAAAGATGCTTGCGCTGAGACATCATGAAATCTAATGCTAACACCGTATTCGTGCATGCGTGATTCCCGTGCAACCTTTCGAGTTGAGTTGATTGGTTCAACTGTGTCATTAGCATTATGCAGATGGCTGTTACAATGAATGCTCGTTCCACCCGTGATGAACAGGGCCCGCTTGCACAAAGCGATCTTAGCGCTAAGACTATTGTAAGCCTATGTTAAAGTATGGGAGTTACGATCATCTTAGCGCTAAGATCGCTTTGTGCAAGTGGGCCCAGGTCTGGTTGTTGATGGAATATAGTGATAGCTAAATAGACAGATTTTTTATTCATGCACCGAATGTAATATCCAGTTATGTATGACTGTTTAATAATCTCATTCCAACTTTGACTGGAGTAGGTCCAATAGTTTTTCAGATATTGTAGTAAACGTCAGTACCTTAAATTAACTTCCAGACTATAATCCTAAATGTCCTACCTATCATATGTCTCCCTGTGCTGTTTGCAGGCATGAAGAGTTTGACTGGGCGGCTGCAGAAAGCTGTACCTGGCATAGAGGATGTGTTCATCTCGGTGGCACTGGACAGTGCACTCATGACTGACAAGCAGAAGGCAGACCTCAACCCCATGATCATCAAGATCCAGTCTGCCACAAACCTTCCAGAAACACCCATGTCCTACCAGGAACTGCAGACAAGGTGGGTGGTAGCCAGCTCAGATAGGCTTGTTGGAACGCTATCTTTCTTTCGTTCTTGGTGGTTTAATGCCCCACTCAGCAATATTCCAGCTATGTGATGGTAGTCTGTAAATGAGCAAATCTGGACCACACAATCCAGTGATTGACATCTTCAATCTTTGCAGCTTCAAGCTTGAATGAGCTGCACAATCTGTATGCAAGGATTGTAGCTTTGTTTTGTTTGTTTGTGTGTTGTTTAACGCTGCACTCGGCAATATTCCAGCTATACAATGGCGGTCTGCGAATAATCAAGTCTGGACCAGACAACCCAGTGATTGAGCATCGATCTATGCAATTGGGATATGATGTCATGTATCAACCAAGTCAGCAAGGCTGACCACCTGATCACATTAGTCGCCTCTTACAACAAGCAGTCGCGTTTTACGGCAAGCTTAGTCGCCTCTTACAACAAGCATAGGCTGCTGAAGATCAATTCATCTTCACAGGGGCCAGATTGTTATCACATTCATCATTCACAGGATGAAGAGGCAAGGAGTGGCATGAAACATCATTACACGTGGTCAGGACGTTTTTGTCCGCAACAGTGAGTGAGTGAGTGTGTTGGGTTAAACACCGCTTTTAACAATGGTCCAGTTATATCGCGGCGTGACAGCTTAATGTGAGAGGAAAGCCCGAAGTGATGCAGGTCTCAGACGTTTACCACTTCGGTGAAACCCACGAGCACGGGTATGGTGCTGACAAACCTAGAAACATAATCGGGGCGAACCGGGTTTCGAACCCACAATCATAGGTTTCTGGCATGCCTAAGGGACGCAACTCTGCACAGCAAATCGCGGCGCCTTAGACGACTGGGCCACCCGTGCCCCCTTGTCCGCAACAGGTTTCCTGTTGTGTTGTTTTGACATGGCACAATGGATAACATTTCTGCTGCAAAGATTTCCACAACTGCTAATGCCAACATTTTCAAATACTGTATTCGACGTAATAAGCGCCCAGGGAGCACTCAAAATTAGTAATAGGGGGCTCTTATTAGAATATTACTTTGGTGAAAAAAAACTGATTTGAAAGACAAATTTCGTGGTTTATGCTGACAGCCTGAAATGTTTATGTACGACAGACATATTTTTCCACAATGAAATTGCCCATAATTAAGGGTGCATATAACACACGAGTGCATATACGCGAATAAATAAGTCTTATGTACATTGATCAATCGGAAGGGGTGCTAAATGAGATTGGTCACTAGCCAATATATAAGCAAATATTTTAAAATATATACAGATTATTAGCCAAGTATCATGAATATATGTTGGGAATACAAATTGAATTATTGAACTTTAGGATACCCTCTCCTAGTGATTGATTGAACAATTACCTGTTTAGTATATTGCTACTCTTGATGTACATATAATTTTGTTAAAAAAAAAATACAGTCTTAGCTTTTTTTATGTAATATGTATTTGAAATTTCCATCTGGTAGGGTTTGAGAAAGAAGGGGTTAAAAATGAATATCTTCATTGACTGTGATGTGTTCATCAGCAGATTCCTGGCCAAATCAATTCTAAAATGTCATGGTAGAATAAGACTTTCTCAAATGTTTCGTTTGCATGTCATAAAAGTAATGTTTGCCAAATAAGTGTCTTGCTGTATCCTACAATACACCATGAAATAAATTCATGTTATTTTACCTTTGAAAGTTTTTAAACACTAATCATTTATCAGCACATGGGTTTGGGGTTCAATCCCTGGTCATGTCATACCAAAAGATGTTAAAAGATGGTACTTGTTGTTACCCTGCCTTGTGCTCCCCATTAAGGGGCTAAAACAAGGACTGGTCAGCTAGTAGTCAGTATACTGTGTCTGAGTGGGGTATTCATGTTAAACTGCGGCATGGTATCTCAGTGAGCTAGCACTATACAATTGGCACTAGTCCGGACTAGTACAAGCAGCCACACACACACACACACACATGCACGTCGCTATATAAGTGCAATAACCTTGGATGCGATGTTAAACACCATTTCACCTCACCTCACCTTCACTTTGAATACAATGATATAGTATGGGGTATTAGCAGTTTGATAAAATAATGGCAATTTCTTTGCACATGCTTGACATGTATTCTAACCACCCTGAAATCAATAGCAGGAAATGCCAAATATGGCATTTTCAGTTGTGATAGGTCACGTCAACCATCAAACATTGTAAAGATTTGAAGTGTTATTACCCAGGCTAGCTTGTCAATCTTTGAACATAAACAAGCAATATTCATTAAACATCACTTTTCGCATGCCTTTCATCTTAATCTTTTTTGACAATTTTGCCAAGAACAAAGACCTGGGCAGATGGCAACTGTCATGTCTTCAACATGTGTAACGAGGTCCAGATGTGACACAGATCTCTTAGTTTAACCATTATGATGAACATGCAACGTGTCTTCAAATAAAACTGACGATTCCAGCTCTTCTCCGACTTAACCATAATTCTCTATACTTTTGCAATAATGACCTATAGTTGCTTCAGTTTTACTGGGGCGGTTGGGTAGCCTAGTGGTTAAAGCGTTCGCTCATCATCCCGAAGACCTGGGTTCAATTCCTGACATGGGTACAATGTGTGAAGCCCATTTCTGGTGTTCCCCGCCTTGATATTGCTGGAATATTGCTAAAAGCGGCGTAAAACCATACTCACTCACTCACTTGTTTAAATATTGCATGTTCAGAATTCCTGTCCCAAATTCAACTGTGACATCATCAATGTCATGTAGATCTTTTTGAAGTTTCGAGAAGGTGATGAATATTAAACAGTAATAAAGGAGTTCTTACTTGATAGGAGAGAAAGGTTCAGTTAACTAAGGTGTCTAAGGTGTGCTGTGAAATATGAAACCCAGAAGTACATACGCGTGTTGAAGCAGATATTTCTGTTTTCAGATGCAAGCCAGTGTACTGTAAATACCAGTTCTTCAAACAGCCCGTTCACGTCACCTTGGGAAAAGAACATGCTCGCAACATCTACTGGGACGACATCAGCGTAGCCCTGCTAGGTATGGAAACCTTATAATGTCGTATGTCATCCATGCAAAGTAATTGGCATTGAAGTAAATCCAATGACACAGGTGGCTTTTTCAATAGTACCATTGACATCTCCCCTTAGCGTGTCTTGTCATGTGTTAAAATGTTGAATTTACCAAGTTTAAAGATTTAATCAAGTCTTGTCCTTTTCAGATTGTGTTTATATTAAAATCTACTCCGACTAGGTGAATATGCAGAATAGCTGATACCCTAGGCTGTGTTCTTAACTATGTTGTAGTTATATGTCACGGGCCCTTGTCATAATGCTGGTAGTAGAAAAAAGCGTGAACTGAAACGTTCATAGAAAATAACAAACCTATAGCCAGAAACCTCCAGGACTGAGGACCCCTTAGTGATCTCAATGCTACGAGTGTGTAGCCATGGCAGCTGTGCATCTGCGAACCCATCCAACAGGTGAACAGCATAAGGTCACCCCCAAATAAGACTTGCAATAACTGGTATGTCAGTAGCTGATACATGGATGTCCCAAGTCCAGCTGAATAAGAATAAGTAGATGTTTCTCATGCATGTCTTGTTTCAAACTGATAAGGGGGGACTTTTTAACAATTTTCACGAGAACAAAAACAAACGAGGAAGGTCAGCATCTTATATTTTTTTTCTCAAGTGAAGTTGAACAAGTCATGTATATGTCAACTTTTTGAACATTTTGAGCTTTGGTAATGATTAAACCCCAAAGCATATGTAGCGGCCATAAATTTCCAATCCTGTGATGGGATTCGAACCCAAACCTTCTAATCCGAGGTCAGACGCCTTGTCCACATAACCAAAGAGGTAAACGCCGTCAGCAAGCTGACAAGGTAAGGATGTCATCTGTGGGATGACTCCACGCCCTGCTACACATATGACAGAAAAGTATCTGATGGGGAAAATGAGATATTTTGTTTTGTTTTTAGGATCGTCATAAAAATGTGCAGGTTTTTAAAGAAATCCTGATTCCCCAGAATAAAAAAATGTGCAGGGTTTTTTTTGTCCTTAATGAACTAGTTCGGATACTTTTGAATATCTAGCCTTGAAACGCTACAATAAACATGATGAGATGAGTAAAGACATATTTAAACACATTCAGGCACCATGGAGCAGTCCGAGCTAAGGGAGTACCTGAACGGTCCGGCGCTGGAGATCCAGGTGCATGATCGTGACCGAAAGGAGGAGAATGTCAAGTTGAAGCCCACATTGTTCGGGGATGACCTTGAAGATGAAAAGATCAGCAGTGTTGGCACAGTCACCAGTAAGTTACCGATGTTCTAGTGATCGTTACCAGAGATTAGGTTTCCATGGTAACCATTAGTTTGTTAGTCAGGTATTGCCCTTTGCTTGTCATCAGTACAGTCTCAACATCATGTTACGAGGGGCGTTCAATAAGTTTTGCAACTTCAATATAAGACCAAGTCGCAGAATATCTTTTGCACTTTTTTTTTTCAAAATAATATCCATTCACCTCAGTACACTTATTCCATTTGTCCTTCAAGCTTTTAATACCACTTCTATAGAAATCCGCAGATTGGCCCTCTAACCATGCCTCTGTGGCAGCCTTTATGTCCTTGTCATCCTGGAAGCGTCTTCCATGTAGGGCAGCTTTCCTTTGCCGGAACAGGAAATAGTCACTGTGGGCTAAGTCTGGGCTGTAGGGTAGGTGATTTAACTGTACAGCCAAGACTTTTTCCTTCACGCTTCATGTGAGGAATCTTGATCTGATTAGGTCTCAAGTGTCCCATGTAGCTCACACGAGGCAACTAAACTTTAGATCAGGTATGTATGTCATTATATTCTGTTTTCTTTGACCTTTCCTCATGCAATGAAACAGGGGTTTATCTGGTTCAAATAGGCTTCCACGATATCGGTTTCATAACGCTGACTGTGGCATGCGACATCACTCACTTGTATTCGCACACGGATGGCCCAGTCGTCTAAAGCGAGCGATTCGCTGTACAGAGTTGTGTCCCTTGGCACACCAGAAACCTATGATTGTTGGTTTGAATTGTGGGCCCCTATTATGTTTCTAGGTTTGTCGGCACCATACCCGTGCTCGTGGGTTTTACCGAAGTGGTAAACGTCTGAGACCTGCATCACTTCGGGCTTTCCTCCCACATTAAGCTGACACGCCGCGATATAAATGGAATACTGTTAAAATCTGCGTTAAACCCAACTCACTCACTCACTCATTCTGTTCCACCTTCACAGGTCGCAGAACTCTGCACAACCCATTCCAGGGCCGCAACAAGCCCTGGGACCCATCTGGCTTGGCCCAGGTGGACCTGTCCGAACTCCTGCTGGGCCACCGCTACCTGCACCTGAAGCTGCCCATCCAGAACGCAGCCATTCCGGACATGCTGGGCAGTGAGACGAGGCCAGACGGGCGGGTCATCGGCATCGCTGGAGCTGTGGACGGGCCAGGTAGACATCTTGTACCTCTGGCTCATATGTAGACTTGGTTGGCTTGTTGAGAAGTTATAAATTTTTATCAAAAGTCAATCTTGCAACTTTTTCAGTTTGTAAACAGTATTAACCAGCAACTTGAGTGAAAAATGGACAGTAGCAGAGTAGGGGGCACGGGTGGCCCAGTCATCTAAGTCGCCGCGATTCGCTGTGCAGAGTTGCGTCCCTTGGGCACGCCAGAAACCTATGATTGTGGGTTCGAATCCCGGTTCGCCCCGATTATGTTTCTAGGTTTGTTAGCACCATACCCGTGCTCGTGGGTTTCACCAAAGTGGTAAACGTCCTTGAGACCTGCATCACTTCGGGCTTTCCTCCCACATTAAGCTGACACGCCATGATATAAATGGAATACTGTTAAAAGCAGTGTTACACCCAACTCACTCAATCTGTAGCAGAGTAATGTAATTTGATTGTGATGTCATGGTAACCGATGGCGTCACAATGGTCTGCAAAGCATTGCAATGCAATTTCATTTTAGCGACATCTACAAGGAAATCTGGCTTGATCTAACCCAAGCAATATCTCCTGTGAATGCCAGTTTTGTATGATCAATATAAGTATCCCTCTACTAGTTTATGCCTTGGAACGAATATTCATTTAATCCTTACAGTACCTTGTGTTAGGTTCAAAATAAGGAACAATAATTCCCTTTCTTTTGGTCTAGCAGATTCATGTGTACCCAACCAAAGGGAGACAACTCTGTGATTTTTGTGTTTTACTTTTGCCATACTAATCATGATTATTTTCTGACCTATCAGTTGACCGCCCACTGTCCACGGGTCACTACCAGAATGCCAGCGCCACTTTGAAAGTGAAGATTGAACTTGCTTTTCCCCTCACAACACCATCTCGTGTCTCTGCCAAAGAACCCTTACTCAGCACTAATGAGGTGGGTAGTTGAGTTTCAATTCAGTTTCTATTTTTTTTTTTTTTTAAAGTTATAAATTTGAACATTATTTGGAGACTGATCATATATTATAGGGAGGGTGGTGTCAGTAATTTCCCTGGGTAAAGCTATGCCTCCAGCGGTTTGGGTTTCCAGGGAACACCTGCCCTCCTTTCAAGCAAAACTCAATCTCATTAAAATCAGATCTCAGTTCTCGCTATCACTAAACAAAGATCTAAGGACATCCCATTACGGGTCACGTCAGAACAACCTTTCATCCAACCAATCAGAGCGTCGCTTACCAGATCATAAAAGTGACGGACGGAGTGTGTTTTCTAATCATGCAACATCGAAAGAAATAACAGAGTAGTATTCCGAACGACAGTTACGGGTTTTATAATTATATCCTTACAATCTAGGCCATCTATAAACCATTCCAGAATGTTATTTTTATCAGTTTTAATTTTCTTAATCGAGAATACATCAAAATATGTTTCGAAGGGTAGTCGCCAGTTTGAAACTTGTGTTGTAAAGCCTGAGAAAGCTGCCTTCTGATCATCTTCTCGAGGCAAGAGAGTTCGTTAACTGACTATAAAAGTCCAGTTTGCACCCTTGCCAAACTAGGCTGATATTATGGAGTTACATTTTGGCTGGACTAACGAGTCTATGCATAGTCCAATCAAAATCGCGCACCAAAATCGAAATCCGGTTCGTAAACTGTCATGCAGATTTCGGTCGATTGCAGGATTTGCAAAGCATGTGCACCGCCAATTGTTGTAAGCAGATATTTTCCAAATCTTTTCATGTTTTTAATCAAGGTGCTCACATGATTTGATGCATTTCGCGATGTAAGACCCGTTTTATCACAATATAGATCTTGATTATCGATCAGATCGTCCTGACTGGGCGCCACCATTTTGTGTGAACCAAACGCAAGTGATATAAGAGGTGGAATCTGATTGGTCCATAGGAGAGGCTTAGAAGGGACATAACTGGTAATAGCCACTGGTGGCGCAACGATCGAGCCCAGTAGTTCCAGCCTAGTTCGGCAAGGATGGAAACTGGACTTTTAAAGTCAGTTAACTCTCTTGCCTCGGGAAGATGCCTTCTGATTGGCCAATATCGATTTCTTGTCAGTCATTTTATTGGTCGGTCAAAGTTCGTGAAAGGTCGTTCTGGCGTGACCCATTATGGGATGTCCTCAGATCATTGTTTAGTGGTAGCGAAAACTAAGCTCTGATTTTAATGAGATTGAGCAACACTATAATGGATCAATTTTTATGTCATCGTGGGTATTCCGGGTTAGAATTGGTCCCCAGCATCCTACGCTGGTCATAAGAGATGGATCAGGTGGTCAGACTCGGATGACTTGGTTGGTAACTTGTCAACATACCCTGACAGTATCAGTGCTCATTGTATCAATCACGGGATTGTCTGGTCCAGACTCAATTGTTTACAGTCCATCGTCATATGGCTGAAATGTTGCTGAGTGGCATTAAACAACAAATACACACACACGCAGTTGTTACATCAGTCATTGAATTCAGGTTCAATATAACCTATTGCTTTGCCCAGGGAAAGACTGCCCCTACTTTCAAGGGACACCATTAAACTTCAGTGTTTTTGTCATTCACCAGTGTTCCCGTTTACCGGTAATTACCAGTGGTGAAATTAGGCTTGGACCGGTAATTCTTGTGACCGCCAGGCCCTGTGGACCGGCAAATAAAGTACCTTAAAAATCTTTGTTGTTCAACAAAACATTGACCATAGTAAATAAATATTTTTTTGTCGAACAAAGTCAGCTTGTCTGTTATCATCAGGGTTTCCCGTTGTCTATTATTAGTGTATTATTTTAAGGAAATAATATGTCACTTTGTTTCAAGGTTAAATATGTATTTGTAGTGACTTAGCCTTGAACCAAAGTGAAATACCAATATTCAGGAAAAAAGAGAAAATTGTGATTGAACTTCATGTGAATGATGTCTAGTATTTAAATAAGTTAATTCACAAATTATGTCAATGAATTTGTCAGCAATTTTCATATAATTTTTATTTGTTCAAAGTTGGGACTGACAAAAATTGGGTGGGACTGATAATTTTTACTGTTGTCTGTCCGCTGGGACTGGCAGTTTCAAAAGTCAGCAGGAACACTGTTCATTAAAATCGTTGTCATGTTAATGTAGGCAAAGAATGGCCTCCCACACAGGATTGCTCACACCAATACAAATTGTGATACCAACTTGCTCTATCCCTATTAATAATTTGTCTGTATTATTTATTTTGTTGACACCAAGCCTCTCTGGTCCATGTTTCTTTCGATTTAATATGAACCAGGCAAGTTTGGAAAGTGAAAACCTTCTGTTTCGAAACTGACAAGATTTGCACAAAAATAGAAAGTTTTGAGAACAAATGGGCTCATATTGTTTCAGTGTCCATTTGGCCGCATTGTTTTCCTGTTTGACTACAAGAATGTGATGATGCTGCACAAGCTCCAGAGCCTCATCACCAGCATCAACGCCCATGCCCTGGAGCTGGACGACATGCCGCAACACGTCATCAACGCCGCGCTCTCCACCTACAAGCTCTCAGCGTCAGTAAACATACTCTCCTACATCATGTCTAGAAGCAATAGCAGGACCAGCCCACTTGCTCAGATTGATCATAGAGCTATACTGTCTGTCTGTGTTAGACCAGCCCACTTGCTCAGATTTATCATAGAGCTGTACTGTCTGGCTGTGTTAGACCAGCCCACTTGCAAAGATTGATCATAGAGCTATGCTCTCTGTCTGTGTTAGACCAGCCCACTTCCACAGATTGATCATAGATCTATACTGTCTGTCTGTGTTAGACCAGCCCACTTGCACAGATTGATCATAGAGCTATGCTCTCTGTCTGTGTTAGACCAGCCCACTTGCACAGATTGATCATAGATCTATACTGTCTGTCTGTGTTAGACCAGCCCACTTGCACAGATTGATCATAGAGCTATGCTCTCTGTCTGTGTTAGACCAGCCCACTTGCACAGATTGATCATAGATCTATACTGTCTGGCTGTGTTAGACCAGCCCACTTGCACAGATTGATCATAGAGCTATGCTCTCTGTCTGTGTTAGACCAGCCCACTTGCACAGATTGATCATAGATCTATACTGTGTGTCTGTGTTAGACCAGCCCACTTGCAAAGATTGATCATAGAGCTATGCTCTCTGTCTGTGTTAGACCAGCCCACTTGCACAGATTGATCATAGATCTATACTGTCTGTCTGTGTTAGACCAGCCCACTTGCACAGATTGATCATAGAGCTATGCTCTCTGTCTGTGTTAGACCAGCCCACTTGCACAGATTGATCATAGATCTATACTGTGTGTCTGTGTTAGACCAGCCCACTTGCACAGATTGATCATAGAGCTATACTGTGTGTCTGTGTTAGACCAGCCCACTTGCTCAGATTGATCATAGAGCTATACTGTGTGTCTGTGTTAGACCAGCCCACTTGCACAGATTGATCATAATGCTGTACAGTGTGTCTGTGTTAGACCAGCCCACTTGCACAGATTGATCATAGAGCTATACTGTGTGTCTGTGTTAGACCAGCCCACTTGCACAGATTGATCATAGAGCTATACTGTCTGTCTGTGTTAGACCAGCCCACTTGCACAGATTGATCATAGAGCTATACTGTCTGTCTGTGTTCATCTTCCCGAGGCAAGAGAGTTAACTGACTATAAAAGTTCAGTTTCCACCCTTGCCGAACTAGTCTGGTATTATGGAGTTACATTTTGGCTGGACTAACGAGTCGATGCATAGTCTAATCAAAATCGCGCACCGAAATCGAAATCCGGTTCGTAAACTGTCGTGCAGATTTCGGTCGATTGCAGGATTTTCAAAGCATGTGCACCGCCAACTTGTTGTAAGCAGATATTTTCCAAATCTTATATTGTTTTTAAGCAGGGTGCTCACGTGATTTGATGCATTTCACGATGTAAGACCCGTTTTATCACAATATAGATCTTGATTATTGATCAGATCGTCCTGACTGGGCGCCACCATTTTGTGTGAAGCAAACGTAAGTGATACAAGAGGTAGAATCTGATTGGTCCATAGGAGAGGCTTAGAAAGGACATAACTGGTAATAGCCACTGGTGGCGCTACGATCGAGCCCAGTATTTCCAGCCAAGTTCGGCAAGGATGGAAACTGGACTTTTATAGTCAGTTAACTCTCTTGCCTCGGGAAGATGGTCTGTGTTAGAGCAAAGGAGTTGCAACAGGCATTGCTCTAGTAACACTGTGTGTGGGGGGGCCTTGTTGAATGATAGGTGCACACTTTTTTTCTCTTAAATAATCCAGATTTTAAAAACATTTTTTCAGTTCTTTGGTCCTGCTGCATCAGTAAAAAAGTATACAATGTATTTTTTTTCAGGTAATTTTTCACCACTCATCTGGAAAATATAAAAAAATGTGAGCAAGTCATCTCAAATAGGAATAAGATTGCTTCTGGCAAGTGTGTTATATTCATATTGTCAACACCAACAATAAAAATGTACTGTGCACCTGTATGTAGTATTGTTTTTGAGGTGATATTGGTTTAGGTAGTTTTTGAGATTTTGACCTCATATACCACAAGTATTATGTCAATCAATATTGGATTTCTCAGGCTATGGTTTTGTGTTGACAGAGAGCAGCAGGAGAGCCGTGAGCTGGACATCATCACCGGCTTCCAGGTGCTGGACGGGAACATGCATCTTTTTGTGTTGGAGGGACTCCGGGACAAGGCCGTGCATGTACTGTGGGAGGCCCTGCCCCAGCCACACGACTCAGGTCAGTACTGTGACAGGCCCTGCCTCAACCACACCTCTCAGGTCAGTACTGTGACAGGCCCTGCCCCAGCCACACCACTCAGGTCGGTACAGTGGGAGGCCCTGCCCAAACCACACCTCTCAGGTCAGTACTGTGACAGGCCCTGCCCCAGCTACACCACTCAGGTCAGTACAGTAGGAGGCCCTGCCCCAACCACACCTCTCAGGTCAGTACTGTGACAGGCCCTGCCCAAGCCACACCACTCAGGTCAGTACAGTAGGAGGCCCTGCCCCAACCACACCTCTCAGGTCAGTACTGTGACAGGCCCTTCCCCAGCCACACCACTCAGGTCAGTACAGTGGGAGGCCCTGCCCCAACCACACCTCTCAGGTCAGTACTGTGACAGGCCCTGCCCCAGCCACACCACTCAGGTCAGTACAGTGGGAGGCCCTGCCCCAACCACACCTCTCAGGTCAGTACTGTGACAGGCCCTTACCCAGCCCCAACACTCAGGTCAGTACTGTGACAGGCCCTGCCCCAGCCACACGACTAAGGTCAGTACTGGGACAGGCCCTGCCCCAGCCATACTACTCAGGTCAGTTCTGTGACAGGCCCTGCACCAGCCACACGACTCAGGTCAGTACTGTGCAGGGCCCTTCCCCAGCCACACCACTCAGGTAAGTACTGTGACAGGCCCTTCCCCAGCCTCACCACTCAGGTCAGTACTGTGACAGGCCCTGCCCCAGCCACAGGACTCAGGTCAGTACTGTGCAGGGCCCTTCCCCAGCCACACCACTCAGGTCAGTACTGTAAGAGGCCCTGCCTCAACCACACGACTCAGGTCAGTACTATGGGAGGCCCTGCCCCAGCCACACCACTCAGGTCAGTACCATGGGAGGCCCTGCCTCAACCACACCACTCAGGTCAGTACTGTGGGAGGCCCTGCCACAGCCACACGACTCAGGTCAGTACTGTGCAAGGCCCTTCCCCAGCCCGACCACTCAGGTCAGTACTGTGACAGGCCCTTCCCCAGCCACACCACTCAGGTCAATACAGTGGGAGGCCCTGCCCCAACCACATGACTCAGGTCAGTACAGTGGGAGGCCCTGCCCCAACCACACCTCTAAGGTCAGTACTTTGCAAGGCCCTTCCCCAGCCCCACCACTCAAGTCAGTACTGTGACAGGCCCTGCCCCAGCCACACGACTCAGGTCAGTACTGTGACAGGCCCTGCCCCAGCCAACCCACTCAGGTCAGTACTGTGACAGGCCCTGCCCCAGCCACACGACTCAGGTCAATACTGTGACAGGCCCTGCCCCAGCCACAGGACTCAGGTCAGTACTGTGGGAGGCCTTGCCCCAGCCACACAACTCTGTCAGATGTTATGCCATGATGGCATACCTCTTACACAGACAATAATATCATACACACTCACTTACTCATTGTACACTATTTAACATTTCATTTCTGAAACGTGTTCCGTTCATTCCTGTTGTGTTTTCTTCACAGATGTGACAGTGCTGTTCAACTCGGACATGTTGTTCAGCAGCCGCCTGTATGGCCCCCTGGACGTTGACCTGTGTCGTGTGAAGCTCCATGAGCCGCTCTCCATCATCACCCAGCAGTCCTTGCTGTACGTCAGGGACATGGTCCCTAAACCATGCTTCCAGGCCCTGGTCAAACTAGAGCAGGTCAGTGCTACAGGTGGAACTGTTCACTATTGGTTACATTGGGCAAACTAGAGGTCAGTGGTAGAGGTGGAACTGCTCACTGTTGGTTACCTTGGTCAAACTAGAGGTCAGTAGTAAAGGTGGAACTGTTCACTATTGGTTACCTTGGTCAAACTAGAGGTCAGCGGTAGAGGTGGAACTGTTCACTGTTGGTTACCTTGGTCAAACTAGAGGTCAGTAGTACAGGTGGAACTGTTCACTGTTGGTTACCTTGGTCAAACTAGAGGTCAGTGGTAGAGGTGGAACTGTTCACTGTTGGTTACCTTGGGCAAACTAGAGGTCAGTGGTAGAGGTGGAACTGTTCACTGTTGGTTACCTTGGGCAAACTAGAGGTCAGTAGTAAAGGTGGAACTGTTCACTGTTGGTTACCTTGGTCAAACTAGAGGTCAGTGTTAGAGGTGGAACTGTTCACTGTTGGTTACCTTGGTCAAACTAGAGGTCAGTGGTAGGAGTGGAACTGTTCACTGTTGGTTACCTTGGTCAAACTAGAGGTCAGTGTTAGAGGTGGAACTGTTCACTGTTGGTTACCTTGGTCAAACTAGAGGTCAGCGGTAGAGGTGGAACTGTTCACTGTTGGTTACCTTGGTCAAACTAGAGGTCAGTAGTACAGGTGGAACTGTTCACTGTTGGTTACCTTGGGCAAACTAGAGGTCAGTGGTAGAGGTGGAACTGTTCACTGTTGGTTACCTTGGGCAAACTAGAGGTCAGTAGTAAAGGTGGAACTGTTCACTGTTGGTTACCTTGGTCAAACTAGAGGTCAGTGTTAGAGGTGGAACTGTTCACTGTTGGTTACCTTGGTCAAACTAGAGGTCAGTGGTAGGAGTGGAACTGTTCACTGTTGGTTACCTTGGTCAAACTAGAGGTCAGTGTTAGAGGTGGAACTGTTCACTGTTGGTTACCTTGGTCAAACTAGAGGTCAGTGGTAGAGGTGGAACTGTTCACTGTTGGTTACCTTGGTCAAACTAGAGGTCAGTGGTAGAGGTGGAACTGTTCACTGTTGGTTACCTTGGTCAAACTAGAGGTCAGTGGTAGAGGTGCAACTGCTCACTGTTGGTTACCTTGGTCAAACTAGAGGTCAGTGTTAGAGGTGCAACTGCTCACTGTTGGTTACCTTGGTCAAACTAGAGGTCAGTGTTAGAGGTGCAACTGTTCACTGTTGGTTACCTTGGTCAAACTAGAGGTCAGTGGTAGAGGTGGAACTGTTCACTGTTGGTTACCTTGGTCAAACTAGAGGTCAGTAGTACAGGTGGAACTGTTCACTATTGGTTACCTTGGTCAAACTAGAGGTCAGTGGTAGAGGTGGAACTGTCACTGTTGGTTACCTTGGGCAAACTAGAGGTCAGTGGTAGAGGTGGAACTGTTCACTGTTGGTTACCTTGGGCAAACTAGAGGTCAGTGGTAGAGGTGGAACTGCTCACTGTTGGTTACCTTGGTCAAACTAGAGGTCAGTGGTAGAGGTGGAACTGTTCACTGTTGGTTACCTTGGGCAAACTAGAGGTCAGTGGTAGAGGTGGAACTGCTCACTGTTGGTTACCTTGGTCAAACTAGAGCAGGTCAGTGTTAGAGGTGGAACTGTTCACTGTTGGTTGCCTTGGGCAAACTAGAGGTCAGTAGTACAGGTGGAACTGTTCACTGTTGGTTACCTTGGTCAAACTAGAGCAGGTCAGTGGTACATGTGGAACTGTTCACCATTGGTTACCTCAGTCAAACTGGTGTAATAGAGGTACTATTCCTAGAATTATACACAAAGATAACAATTGTTTGGTAACTTCACATTTTCTCACTTGAGAAAACCTTTGAAATGTTTATTAGTAAAACTTATCAAGTTACTTTGGAAAATATCAGGTCACTTATGTGACATTCCCTCCTGACTTAGATGTCACTTCTGGTGTAATTGTTAGAAAATGCTTGTAACATTATGTGTCTCTCACAGCTGTGCAGACTGAAGAAGTTCCGCGATGCCATCAGAAACAGCTTGTTCCCCACGGCCGACATGGTCATCTCCATGAGCAGGGAGTTTGGTGTGCCATTCACGTCCGAGGACTTCCAAGGTAAACACCAACAGTACACCTGTCCTGTGTGTAGGGTGTGTGTATGGCACTCAGCTATATTCCAGCTGTATGACAGTGCCCTGTAAATATTCAAGTCTGGACCACACAATCCAGTGATCAATATTGTGAGTGAAGGGTGATCCAGGATTATTAAAATGGAGAGGTCCAAATTATCAAAATCCTCTCAAATAGAAAATTATACTGCCTACAACAGGGGTGGGGGGGACCCTACCTCCGGATCCGCCTATGTGATGAATGGTCCATGTCATCAGGGTGTATGTCATCCAAACAATCAAGTCACCAAGCCTGACAACCTGATCCACCAGTGACCTATTCCAAGAACATAGGCCGCCTCCGTGGTCTTGTGGTAGAGCGTCCACCCGGAGAGCGGAAGGTCCGGGGTTCGATCCCCGGCCGCGTCATACCAAAAGACGTTAAAAGATGGTACTTGTTGTTACCCTGTCTGGCGTTCGACATTAAGGGGCTAAAACAAGGACTGGTCGGCTCGGAGTCAGTATACTGTGTCTGAGTGGGGTATTCATGTTAAACTGCGGCATGGTATCTCAGTGAGCTAGCACTATAAATCGGCATCAGTCCGGACTAGTACAAGCAGCCACACATACACACGTGCATGCACGTCGCTATATAAGTGCGATAATCTTGGACGCGACGTTAAACCCAATTTCACCTCACCTCACCTCACCTCACCTCACCTCACCAAGAACATAGCTGAGGACCTATTTCAACACAGAATCTGAACAGGGTCTTTCTGAGAGACGTTGTATTAACTCAAGTGTGTCGCTGATGTAAAAGTTATTCCGACTTGCACCAGACCAGGGGGATATGTCATCTCCTGATGTCTCTTGTTTGAAATTATTTTATAAGTTGGGAAAACATCCTGATGCTCTGTATAGCCGAGATCCTATCATTTAGTTGAGATGTTTCATAAGGAAGGACATGAGTATTCAGCATATGCCCTTCTAATCATTCAGGCCTTCATTGTGAGTAGATCTGTAGGGTAGCCTTGTGGTCAGAGTGTTTTTTCGTCACACTGAAGACCTAGGTTTCATTCCCACATGTTATGACATGTGAAGCCCATCCACATTTCCTGCCATGATATTCATGGGCTTTTACAAGACAAGATGTACAATTTTGTTTGTTTGTTTGTTGTTTAACGCCACACTCAGCAATATTCCAGCTATATGACGGCGGTCTGTAAATAATTGAGTCTTGACCAGACAATCCAGTGATTGATATCATGAGCATCAGTCTACGCAATTGGAATACGATAACATGCATCAACCAAGTCAGCGAGCCTGATGACTCGATTTGGTTAGTTGCCTCTTATGACAAGCATAGTCTCCTCTTATGGCAAGCATGGGTTGCTGAAGATCTATTCTCTACCTGGATCTTTACAAGTCCAAAACTCTTTCTTCATGGACATAAGGGGATCGGATGGTCAGACTCTCTGACTTGGTTGATGCATGTCATCGATCCCAATTGCGTGGATCAATGCTCTTTATATTAATCACTGGATTGTCTGGTCTAGATTCGATTATTTACAGACCGCCGTCATATAGCTGGAATATTGCTGAGTGCGGCGTTAAACAACAAACCAACCAACTTTCTTCCTGGATGGTGATACAAGGGACTATTTGTGTTACAGAGCTGCAGCCAGAGGTTGAGAAGGAGGCTGTTACCATAGAGGAGAGGCCGTCTGCACCCCGCCCCTTCACCAGTCGGGAATGGACCCCCATCGACAACTTCAACCTGGAGTACGTGGCAGGTATCGCTGACAGGGATGGCCAGAGACAGCACCACAACTACCTCAAGGAGAACATGGTCAGTAGCCATACCAGTGACTCAGGTTATTGTGTATTCTACCATCAATTTGGACATTACTTGATTCTGATTGGTGAGTCAAAGGTGGTTAAATCACAATAAACCCCTCTGATTGAAACAGCCGATTTGGCAGCCGCAGCACCGCATAAGCTAATATTTATAGAATTCTGTTCCAAATTCAATTTAGCGCGGTTAAATCTACAGGTAAGCTCTGCATTGAAAACACAGCATGTTTATCTCCTAACTAAACTATATGGGGATGTGTAAACACATGTTATTTATTTTCAGACTCTTGAAATAATCTTTCGAATTTAAAAGACGTAAATCATGATGCTGGGCAGTAATTGCAGGCATTCAGACCAATGTTTGAAGACCTTTATTCGAATCTGTTTTGAGATGGTTTGTTTTGTTAATATTTCCTATCCACCCTATTCCCCAAATACAGTAAACTGCGGTTAAAACGAACTCAAAGGGACCACTATTTTTAGTTTGTAATAATCGTAGTTCGTTATAAGCATGTTCGTTATAAACGTAGTTTACTGTATTTGGGGAATAGGGTGCTTAGGACATATTTTATTTATCACTTTGTATAATATATTTAAAGATTTGCTTAAAACGTCTTTATTTTGCTCTTTGACATGTTCGATGTGTGTCCGAAATGTGTGTCCGAGAATTTTATTTTCAATAACATCGCGGGAAATAGTGAATAATTTTTTAATTTATCGATAAAAGATGATAAATTGAAATGGAATACGTATTTCAGACATTGTGAAATGTGACAGATTTAATAAATGAATGATATTACAGGTAGATCTAGGTCCATAAAAATATATACTATTTTGACGTGACGTGAGATAAACACATATTGATGATTTGAGATTTGCCGAGCACGCTCCCCTGCCTCGGCCTCGGTTAAACGGCTCATCGTCTATAACGCCCACCAATTATTTGGACCCCATTGGTAGCGTTGTAGCGAGGGACCACTGTATATGTCTTTATAAGTGTAGATTAAGTCTGCATATACTATTTGATAAACTATTAGTGGTTCAGTTTCTTAGGTACATATCCTTTTCAGGAGCAACCCTTCTCGTCAGTCTTGTTCCATACACTTAATTCAGTTAAGAGCACAAGAGACACTTCATAAGGATTATGTACATTACTTTGTGACATCATGACTGTAAACTGCATGTGCCCAGACAAACTGTATTCAGTTTAATGTTTTGATTTTTATCATTGTATTTGACACCTAGATGTTGGTTCAGTTCCATTTGTAATTTAAAAGCATGCTGATTCTGGAATGGATTGGTTGGTTGGTTGGTTTGTTGTTTAACGCCGTACTCAGCTATATTCCAGCTATATGACGGCGGTCTGTAAATAATCGTCTGGACCAGACAATCCAGTGATTAATATCATGAGCATCAATCAACGCAATTGGGATCGATGACATGCATCAACCAAGTCAGCGAGCCTGACCACCCGATCCCGACACCTTTTACGACAAGCTTAGTCACCTTTTACAGCAAGCATAGTCACCTTTTACGACAAGCATGGTCACCTTTTACGGCAAGCATGGGTTGCTGAAGACCTATTCTACCCCTGAATCTTCACAGAAACAAGAATGTAGGATATAAAGAAATGAACAAAATGTGAAAAATACCTTATATCGCTGTGTATAAGGCGACCCCACGTATAAGACGACCCCCTGTACACGCCTTAAAAATCAACCCAAAATCCTATACTCCGTGTATAAGGCGACCTGGAATGAAACACATCACAAGTCTGACTGATATACCGGTAGAAGATTTAACGTGCTCTGTAGCGTATTTCGCACACGGACATCACAAATCAGTTAGTTAGTTACTTTGGAGATTTAATGTGCGCTTTCCGACTGATGCGAATTTCGCACACATCACAAGTGCGCACACAAACCTTATATATGCAATAAAAATATGTTTATCTTGCATTGTTTTTTTTCTACAATGATAGGTCGCGTGTGTAACTCCGGCACACGTCGCCATTTTGTGTTTACACGGTACGACACCAAATTGGTGCCCGTAAAATAAAATTCATATATGAAGTAATAACATATAAGAGACAATGGTGAGTAATTTAATCGCCAATTAACTATGTTGTAACTAACTAGGCTTATGTTTGCTTCACATTCAGCGTGTTTATTCCACAATCACTTGTACACACCGTCTCCAACACTTGTTAATACAACTGTAAAAACAGCGGGAATTGATTTCAGCTTCACCGGTTATCACATGTTAGGTCACATGTGCAATATGCAAATGATTACCGGTACTTCCGGCTCTCTACTCACGGATGTTGATTGTTTTACCGTGTCAGCTGGTTTGACAATCTGCATCGAGGAGAGGGTCATTTCAACTTTATTTGCAGAAATTATTAAACTTTATTCAAGGAAAAGAGATACAAATCATGTTTATGTATGGAAATAGTTATTGGAACAGTTATTTAGGACGAAATGCGAAGTTTTATTGTCAAATGCTGGGCTGGCTATCGGACGCCGGTTGACATCGCCAGTGGAAAAAAATGTGAGATCTTCGACTCCGTGTATAAGACGACCCCCCTTCTTAGCCCCCTCATTTTAGGTACGAAAAACTCGCCTTATACACAGCGATATACGGTACTCTGTTACTATAGTTTTGCAGATTTACTGCAGTCAGCGCAGACAGCATGTTTAATACCAGACATTATCTGTGGTCCTGACTATCACAAATACATTGAATTCTTCCCACGAGGCTGATTTGCTTTACTATTTGACTTTTGGCTGATGTACCTGTTGCTCCCCATAGGACGATGTGCAGGAGCAGAGCATCAAGAACAAGCTGGAGCGTGACCGGAACAGGCCTCAGACCATCAAGGCCGACGTCACCACGGCCCACAACTACAGCTCTCAGACTCTCAACTCCACAGAGCTCGGTCGGGAGAAGCTACGCAAGAGTCTGGCCTCGGTGAGTCCTTCGGAGAAGGAGTGCAGTGTGTGGATGTGTGTGTGGGTGTGGGGGTGTGGGTGGGTGTGGGTGTGGGTGTAGGTGGGTGGCTGTATGCGTGTGTAGTGGGAGGGTTGGAGTCGTGGGAGTTTGCAGCGGGGGTGTGGGGGTGTTAGGGTGTAGTAGATGCTAAAATATGGTATAATGTAACAAATGTTATATTTGGGATAACACTTTCCTAGTAAAGTACACATTCTCGTTCTCGTAAAATATGGTAGTTGTGACCCTGCTAGGCACTCAGCATTGATGGGATAAAACAAGGGCTGGTCAGATCAGGGTCAGAATAATGTGTCCATATTAAACTGCAGCATGGTATCTCTGTGGATTAGCACAATATATAAGATAGCTACGCAAAAAATTGCAAAGAACAATGAAGCCTGGTTTATTTCATTGATAAAACATTGATCTATCATGACACATTTCTGGTAATTTGAATTTGCGTTCATAACTTTATGTCAAATATTGGACGACGTTAATTTTGAGAGGGAAGTGTCTAGTTAGTTGTTCCCCATGGATGTAGATGAGCTCGCTCCTGGTATTGTACGATAAATACGCCCCTCATGGTTTATTCTCCCTGCAGTGTTATATTGTATGATAAATACGCCACTCATGGTTTATTCTCCCTGCAGTGTTTTATTGTATGATAAATACACCCCTCATAGTTTATTCTCCCTGCAGTGTTATATTGTACGATAAATAAGCCCCTCATGGTTTACTCTCCCTGCAGTGTTTTATTGTGTGATAAATGCACCTCTCACGGTTTATTCTCCCTGTAGTGGTTTATTGTATGATAAATACGCCCCTCATGGTTTACTCTCCCTGTAGTGTTTTATTGTATGATAAATATGCCCCTCATGGTTTCTCCTCCCTGCAGTGTTTTATTGTATGATAAATTCACCCCTCATGGTTTCTCCTCCCTGCAGTGTTTTATTGTATGATAAATACACCCCTCATGGTTTCTCCTCCCTGCAGTGTTTTATTGTATGATAAATACACCCCTCATGGTTTCTCCTCCCTGCAGTGTTTTATTGTATGATAAATACACCCCTCATGGTTTCTCCTCCCTGTAGTGTTTTATTGTATGATAAATACGCCCCTCATGGTTTATTCTCCCTGCAGTGTTTTATTGTATGATAAATACGCCCCTCATGGTTTACTCTCACTGTAGTGTTTTATTGTATGATAAATACGCCCCTCATGGTTTCTCCTCCCTGCAGTGTTTTATTGTATGATAAATACGCCCCTCATGGTTTCTCCTCCCTGCAGTGTTTTATTGTATGATAAATACGCCCCTCATGGTTTCTCCTCCCTGCAGTGTTTTATTGTATGATAAATACACCCCTCATGGTTTATTCTCCCTGTAGTGTTTTATTGTATGATAAATACACCCCTCATGGTTTATTCTCCCTGCAGTGTTTTATTGTATGATAAATGTGCCTCTCATGGTTTATTCTCCCTGCAGTGTTTTATTGTATGATAAATACGCCCCTCATGGTTTATTCTCCCTGCAGGGTACGATAAACAACTCCCACTCATCATTTATTTCTTACATAAGTGCAATAACCACGAACCAGACTTTAAACCCATTTCACCTCCCGAACTCACCCCTACCTCGTATATGGAAACACAACTGATGTCCTGATGCTTGCCCTCCAGAACCCGGACACCAGACACACCTACTGCCAGGACTACCACCACTCCATGACTGTCGTCCCCGTCAACACCGAGGCTCTCCAGAAGGAGGCTGAAGATAAGGCCAAGGCTCAGTGGAGGACCGAGTCCGGCTTCGTGTACCCAGGGATGAAGAGCATGCAGGATAGCAACATTCACCCTAAACGCCCTGACGAGGCTCGGTCTCAGGAACTTCATGGGGTAATGATGACATACTCTTTGGTACTTTATTTCCCCATTAGAATTATTTTAATTTACAGGTGTAGACAGGTTTTCAAGAGACTAGGCACCTTAAAACTGGCTTATTTTCTGTCCCAAACTGGGCTGTATCACAATACAAACTGAATATACCATCACTTAGCCCATGCCAATTTACGCATTATTTACACTAACACCAAAGAGTTTACATTCAATTTTCATGGTCCAATCAATAGGTAACATAGATCTACATGAAAAACACTTTGTCCTTAATGATTAAATGCTGATGTATTATGTGACATTCCATCACATTTCTGTATTAAACAAGGATATATAAGCCATGACAAAATGGTCATTTGGTTTAATTCAATCAAACAAATATGCATTAAGCTTATGTTCTTGTGTGATGCTGTGAAAGCTGCAAAACTGCTGATGTGGCATAAAGCAATACGTTAACAAGCAATCACTCACTCCATTTTGGAAAAAGAGAAGCCTCTACCACTGTACTTTCAGTTTTCTGTTATATTTTTTACAGGATACACTCATCATTCATCAAATGTTTGAAATATTTTGGACTGATCTAAAATTGTTTATTTTTACAGCCCTGGCGGGAGAATCTGCTTCATGTCAACATCCTACAACCTCCGTTATCTCGAGATAACTATCCATGGGACTACAGGCGAGTCGACCTTGAACTCTACCGCCGTCCACCACCACGTTTTGGTAACGAGCCAGTCACCATTCATCTTGCCGGAGAGAAGCTTCGTCAGGAGAAACTGGCAGCTAAGAACCAGGATCTTTCTTCATGGAGATCCAAGATCGTTGTGGATGACATACGTCACTATGCACATAGATGCCTGCCAGAAACAGAGATGAAAGGTCTTGGGTTCTACTCCAGTAACCAGGTGGACAGACTCCGAGGTCTTCTCAAAGATTCCCCAGCCAAGTTTACTCTGAGGCGTCCTGGCCTCGCCTTGAATGAGATCCCACCTCTCAGCGTTGTGCTCAACCCGAGCGTGGACACAGATGCTCGGGCGGCAGGGCTTCCCATCTACCCAGCAGTCAGAGGGGAAGGGATGGAGAGTACCAGGGGATTCAAACCCGGACCGTTCGAGGGAAGACGATGGCAGCTTGAGAAGAATAAGATTCCTGTGTTTGACTATGAGCATCAGAGGATTGCCAGACTCAAGGGCCAGGATTTCAAGTGAGTAACACGTTGGGTACTATTGATAATGAATTTTATTTTTATGTGGAAAGATTGTTAACAGCTTTGAAAAGATTTGTTTCCATAAAGCGACCATTGCTTTTCACCTGCCCAGGATGATGATTCGGAAGCAGAATAGGAATAAGACGCTACTGAAATCTGGTAGTCACATATCTAGCAAGGCTGTTTTGTGCCATCATACTTCAATAGCATATATCATTGCCCAATGCGATCAACCACTGGTTTGTGGGACCAACACTTGATTTTCCCCTGGCCACTGCATTAAGCCCTATAAACCCTTTGGACACTTCATCAACATGCCGTCTGCTTATTGTACAATGCAACAAACATGTTGATTGCTTGGCTGCAATAATTTCAACTATGGATAGTTACATTTCTCATCTGGTAGTGACTGAGTAGTAATATTGTAATTTGGATGAACTCTCCCTCGTTCAGGGGTTCAAGGGCCCAGTAGTTGAAGGTGTAACAATTTGCATTGTAGAGTTGTGTCCCTTAGCTGTGCCAGTATATGCTGAAGATATATGTGAATCCCAGACTCTCCCAGTGATCCATTGTATATTTCTCCATACGGTTACGTGTGTGTTCCAGCAAAATGATAAATGTCTTGTCCTGTTGGCTGGCACATTAAGTTGGCATGCAGTGTAAATACTGTTAAATGCAATGTCCTAAGTTTAAGGCGAATGCTATATCTTGTTTCTTTGCAGTGTCTACCACACAAACAGGAACAATCTGTGGAAGAGGGAAATCAATCCTCTCTCAGCAGATGACAGAGACAACCATCTCTTCCGCATTCCAGACGACCCAGACGTCTGGGGGCCAGTAGACAACACAGGATTTGACCTTCAAAGGTCATACACTCAGCCAATCATCAGCCACACTGCAGGGATGACCTTGAGCTCCCAGTCACCTGATCTCATCCACCATACAAAGGTCAAGAAACAAATGGAAGTCATTGCCAGTTGAGGATTTTAAACTCAGTTAGCGATATATATCTCTATATATTTTATATGTGTTTTTAGATTTTGACTGCTGCAAATGAGATTTTGTACTTATGAAGTGCTTTAAATTTTACTCCAAAGATTTGCTGTAATTGTTCAATGTAGTTTTAGTTTTTTTGCTCAATTTCTGTACATTTGTATGGACGTTGAAGTATTTACTGCGACAAGTGTACTTAAAAGCTGTTTTGATCAATCCTGAAGTTGAGTGTGATCTTGTGCAATGTGCAGAGCATTTCTGTGATTATCTTAGTGTGATATTTGATCAATCTGTTCTGATCTTATGTGATACCTGACGAAAGTAAATAGAAAAATGCAATATTCTATTTCTTCCTGGCCTGCTGCCATTTTTTATGCCAATAATTGTTTCATTAAACCATTTAACAAAATCCAGCTATGTCGATTTATCAAAGTAATTTTATTGTTCACTGAAATTCAAGTACAATTTATTGTTAGTTTGAGAAGTCATTTCTGATCAGAACTCAAATTTTTTTAACTTCAAATTCACTTAATGTTTTACCTAACTAAACAAATTAGTTATCTTTGAATCATGGACAATTTTATTATAACTAATGTTAACATAATCATTGTATTTAACAATTTGTTTTCTTCAAGCGGCACATAATGTTTGTTGTTTGAAGTCATGTATATACTGCTGGACTGTCCTAATATGCAGAGTGATATTTATTGTGATCTCAAAGAGTATATTTTTTGGATTGTGTACATTGTGTATATAACTACCCTGAGATAGGGTCTCCACCCTTGATACCAAATCTGTGGTACCATACTGCTGAAGTGTATAGTATTGTGTCATGTAGACTGTGTTGTAAATACCAATACTTATACCACTCAGTGATTGCTAAGGATATGGCAGCTAGAACCAACTTTACTTTGATAATCTGGGTGGTGGGGTAGCCGAGTGGTTAAAGTGTTTGCTCGTCACGCCGAAGATCCGGTTTGAATCCCCACATGGTACAATGTGTGAAGCCGTTTTGTGGTGCCCCTGCCGATATGTGGCTGGAATATTACTAAAAGCGGCATTAAACCATACTCACTCACTCACTCACTCATTCACTCACTCACTCACTCACTCACTCACTCACTCACTCACTCACTCACTCACTCACTCACTTTGTGATAAACACCTACAAAATGAGTGAGTTAAAATTATAATATTGCATCAACAGTGGTTCAACCATGAACTGACGACAGTGAATTAGTCACGTACATGGAATGTGTCAGACTTCATTTTAATGTTGAGGTGGCTCCAATGGTTTTTTTCTAATCAAGGGAGCCCTTCTTTCTCTCACATTCAACATTAGGGTCACGAAACGGCCACCTTGCGTTATTGTTCACTGCTTGGAGAATGGGGTACAAACACGCACCTGATGAGAGATTATGTTCCTGCATGACACCCTTCCTCAAGCAATTTAGTGCACTTTATTACATGCATATCCTTATCAATGTTTGAGTGGTATGTGATATGTACTCCTATATAGTTAGTTTGTATGTATAGAGTCTTAAACGTGGTGTATCTGTATGCTAGAACCTTGCTGTTACCACAACCGTACAGCCCCAACTCCACTGTGTATGTTTTGAATTTTGCACAAGTAACTGGACTTTCGTTGCATATATAAACAAGCTGGTGAAGCCGACTAACATCCTTATTTGTAACAGATGTTAAGTTAAGTATGCGTTAACTGACGCAACAAAATACTGCATAATCAGATAAACTATACAGCCTGAAAATTCAAATAAGTCAATAAATAACCAGGAATAAATACAACACAAATGTAATGCATGGAAATTTTATGCGGCACATTTGTAAAACATGCGAATCCTCAATTTCTTGTTTCAATGACCATGCTGCATTTGTACTGGCCCATATATTTGTACTGCACATGCATTTTGTGTGATATGATCGTTGTAGCCACGACAGCCATAATGCACATGCTATGAATTAATGCAGAGCTTACAATTTGTAATACAGAAAGTAGGTCAGTAAGCTGTCAGTTTATTACAGATAATCTACAGTTACAGCTAATACAATGGCTGTATTTTGTATAATAGTCTCTAACACAGGATAAAGCACGTCCGAGGGTTTTTATGATATTTAAACGCTTTTCCATGGTATAAAAGCAATCAGTTTTGTTCCAAAGATAAGGGTTTAAATGTCATAAAACCCCGAGACGAAGTGTTTTATGTAACTTACAAATCAAAAAAGAACATTAAAACAACATTTATCAACATTTTTATGTTTCAAACATATTTTCCAGGAACCTTAGGAAACAGGCGTAAATATCTGTTGCTGGCGTACGGTACTTCAAAAAGACGTTCTTAAAACCATTTATCAGCGCCTCTGTAGACTTGTGGCACACTGACTGGGGTACAGATACAAAGGTTGCGTGTTCCATCCACGGGAATATAAAGAAAAAATTTAAAGAAAATCTAAACGGAAGTTATATCAATAAAATCCCTGAGACATTGTTTAAAATCCTCGGGATATTATATGAAATCCTGAGGATATTATAGAATCCCTCTTTATGAGATAAACCCACTGGAGAACAATAGGATGACGCCACTGGAGGTTTAAAGGTCCGGGGGTTGTATGGTTGTGCCGACAGCGGCCTGCATCAGATCAGGGCCCACTTGCACAAAGAGATCTTAGCGCTAAGATGATCGTAACTCCAATACTTTAACATAGGCTTACAATAGTCTTAGCGCTAAGATCGCTTTGTGCAAGTGGACCCAGGACATTACTCCAGTCTTTGTATATTTGTTTATCTGTCTCACTATTGTATATACACAGCGTAACTCACAACACCTGAGGCCCTGCTGTTGTGATACAAACAATATAGCTGTTCTATACAGTAAATGAAGTAATATTATGTGTATATTCTGACAGTAGTGAAAGACATGGGACTGAATTCACTGACACTCACATTCTATTTGGTTTTTTTCTCATTTCTGTAGTTCCTTGCAGGTTCATTTCATGATCATGTTTAATATCAACCTATTTATGCTTGAGTGTAATAGATTTTTGTGAGCTTGATAACAGTTGCTGATAAGAAAAAATAAATGGTATGGAATTTTAACTTACTTACATCAGGAACCCATTCCTCACAGCGATCATGAGTGCTGTAAGTCTGTGTTAAAGTGTCAGAGTTAAGATCGTCTTAACGCTACAATCGCTTTGCGGAACATGGCCCATGACGTTAGAATGAGTTAAAATACAGTGGGGTACCGAAACTCATTTCAGTCACAATTCCTTATGTCAATTCATGTTCGAAAAACTGCCAAATTTTAGTAATCGTGACTTGTCCAATAGATACTTCCTTGCGGTTCATGAATTGTGGGGGGGCACGGGTGGCCCAGTCGTCTAAGGCGCCGCGATTCGCTGTGCAGAGTTGCGTCCCTTGGGCACACCAGAAACCTATGATTGTGGGTTCGAATCCCGGTTCGCCCCGATTATGTTTCAAGGTTTGTCAGCACCATACCCGTGCTCGTGGGTTTCACCGAAGTGATAAACGTCAGAGACCTGCATCACTTCGGGCTTTCCTCCCACATTAAGCTGACAAGCCGCGATATAACTGGAATACTGTTAAAAGCGGCGTTAAACCCAACTCACTCACTCACTCATGAATTGTGGTTTGGAGTTTTGGACTAGTGCTAGCAAGCATTGCGTTCCACAAAGCAATCTTAGCACTAAAGTGATCATAACTCGCATATTTTAACGTGAGCTTACAGTCATCGTAGCTCTAAGATCGCTGTGTGGAATATATGTATTTGTCGGACATGTTTTGTTTTGATCACAACAGTGGCTTGCTGGGTCTGTTACAAGTCAGTATTGATGATGATATCCTCAGTATGAATATGCCAGGTTTAAATGACTGTCATAGAAAGTTTAGCTGTTATTTGTCTAGCAAGAGAATGAACATTTACAGTTGACCGTTAACATGTAGATAATAGTTTGAGGATTATCAGCTCAAAGAATGAAAGGATGTTGTTGTTTTTTGTGACTAAAACTTAGCATGCAAAGTCAGTGTTGGAATATAAACCCCCTTTGCTACCATTGATTCTTATAAATGCAAGATGTTTCCAGCTCAGCTATTCATGCTGAGTTCTTACCTTGATGTGAATGCATGATGTGAAACCTGGAATGTGAAGTCTTGATGTGAAACATTGATGTGAAACTGTGTTGCCGTAATTGGATATGTTCCCTGTGAAGTCATCTGTATTGACAACTGGGTAATGGATCGTAGGTACAGAGTTATGTCCCTTTGATTAAATATTTATCATTACATTAAAGATTCTAGCGGTCTGACTGGCCAGTCCCCATCTTGTGAAGATCGTCTAGGTTATCGGCCTGTCATCGTCATGTTTGATGTGACCTCACTTGTTTGTTACGTGTCACTTGAGGCTGTTAGCACTTGGAGTTACCAAAGTTTGATAACGGTCACAGTAATATTTTATTGACAAGCTATTTGTTTGGGTACATAATAAAAGGGCATTCATGCATGAAAATGTATCTGGAATTTTTTGTGTTTTGGGATGGATGCCTTGAATACTGTCGGGAGGTCAGAGCTCCAGATAAGCTGCGTATCTGCGTAAAATACGCATCAGAAATGCAGAAATAAGCAGTAAAATAATATCCAAGCGTATCAAATACGCAAGGAACATTACAGATACGCTACAAAAATAAAGCTTGTGCGTATCATCAAAATGTTGTGAAGTAACCCTGCGTATTGGATTGGCAAATCAGCAACTTATTTTGAAATTATAAACGGGCATTCCGTCAACCTTGCCAAACTCCACGATGATCATTTGCCATCACACTTTCTTGTGGAAGTATCGTGGTATTTCTGAGTCCTATAAAGCTCTCGAACCCACACGACACCAGTTTGCAGGGCCTAGATGAATAGTGTTTTTAAATATTTAACTTAAATACCTACATGTGTAAAAACTAGTGGGTGACAGAAATGTGAATACCCAGATAGAATTACTGATACCCAGTGATTTTAAAATGCATGGGTAAAATACCCACAACACCAAAAGCTTATCTGGAGCTCTGGAGGTTGTTCTTCATACTGGCCGATGTAACCAAACAAACATACTACTGATTATCCTATGTTGGTGTTTAAACATGTTAATGTAAACTATCAAGGTGTCTAATTGGGGGCCATTGTTATTGTTTTCAAAGTTTGAGTATAGTTATGACGGTTATATTATATGAAATAACAAAATATCTCCATTAACTCACTTGTGTTTCTGGGAATACTGTTTGAAGGTTTGTGTATGGAAGTCTGTGTTTATACTGTACCACTGTCATCAAACACTCCAGACTTCAGGAGTGAAGAATGTATGTTGTACACTGTTCTTGATAATACTGATTGTATAAACATATATATCCACACTGTGTATTGTTAGTTCTTATTATTTATGCTCTTTGCACAAGTGTCTGGGACTGTGGAGGTCCTGAGTGTTGTGTATCCCATGCTGGTCTGGGACTGTGGAGGTCCCCAGTGTTGTGTATCCCACGTCGGTCTGGGACTGTGGAGGTCCCCAGTATTGTGTATCCAACGTCGGTCTGGGACTGTGGAGGTCCCCAGTGTTGTGTATCCCATGTTGGTCTAGGACGTGAGGTCCCCAGTGTTGTGTATCCCATGCTTTCCTGGGACTGCGGAGGTCCCTAGTGTTGTGTATCCCACCTCGGTCTGGGACTGTGGAGGTCCCCAGTGTTGTGTATCCCATGTTGGTCTGGGACTGTGGAGGTCCCCAGTATTGTGTATCCCATGTTGGTCTTGGACTGTGGAGGTCCCCAGTATTGTGTATCCCATGTCGGTCTGGGACGTGAGGTCCCCAGTGTTGTGTATCCCATGTTGGTCTGGGACTGTGGAGGTCCCCAGTATTGTGTATCCCATGTTGGTCTTGGACTGTGGAGGTCCCCAGTGTTGTGTATCCCATGTTGGTCTGGGACTGTGGAGGTCCCCAGTATTGTGTATCCCACGTCGGTCTGGGACTGTGGAGGTCCCCAGTGTTGTGTATCCCATGTCGGTCTGGGACGTGAGGTCCCCAGTGTTGTGTATCCCATGTTGGTCTGGGACTGTGGAGGTCCCCAGTGTTGTGTATCCCATGTTGGTCTGGGACTGTGGAGGTCCCCAGTATTGTGTATCCCATGTTGGTCTTGGACTGTGGAGGTCCCCAGTGTTGTGTATCCCATGTTGGTCTGGGACTGTGGAGGTCCCCAGTATTGTGTATCCCATGTTGGTCTTGGACTGTGGAGGTCCCCAGTGTTGTGTATCCCATGTTGGTCTTGGACTGTGGAGGTCCCCAGTGTTGTGTATCCCATGTTGGTCTGGGACTGTGGTGGTCCCCAGTATTGTGTATCCCACGTCGGTCTTGGACTGTGGAGGTCCCCAGTGTTGTGTATCCCATGTCGGTCTGGGACGTGAGGTCCCCAGTGTTGTGTATCCCATGTTGGTCTGGGACTGTGGAGGTCCCCAGTATTGTGTATCCCATGTTGGTCTTGGACTGTGGAGGTCCCCAGTGTTGTGTATCCCATGTTGGTCTGGGACTGTGGAGGTCCCCAGTATTGTGTATCCCACGTCGGTCTGGGACTGTGGAGGTCCCCAGTGTTGTGTATCCCATGTTGGTCTGGGACGTGAGGTCCCCAGTGTTGTGTATCCCATGTTGGTCTGGGACTGTGGAGGTCCCCAGTGTTGTGTATCCCATGTTGGTCTGGGACTGTGGAGGTCCCCAGTATTGTGTGTCCCATGTTGGTCTTGGACTGTGGAGGTCCCCAGTGTTGTGTATCCCATGTTGGTCTGGGACTGTGGAGGTCCCCAGTGTTGTGTATCCCATGTTGGTCTGGGACTGTGGAGGTCCCCAGTATTGTGTATCCCACGTCGGTCTGGGACTGTGGAGGTCCCCAGTGTTGTGTATCCCATGTCGGTCTGGGACGTGAGGTCCCCAGTGTTGTGTATCCCATGTTGGTCTGGGACTGTGGAGGTCCCCAGTATTGTGTATCCCATGTTGGTCTTGGACTGTGGAGGTCCCCAGTGTTGTGTATCCCATGTTGGTCTGGGACTGTGGAGGTCCCCAGTGTTGTGTATCCCATGTTGGTCTGGGACTGTGGAGGTCCCCAGTATTGTGTATCCCACGTCGGTCTGGGACTGTGGAGGTCCCAAGTATTGTGTATCCCATGTCGGTCTGGGACGTGAGGTCCCCAGTGTTGTGTATCCCATGTTGGTCTGGGACTGTGGAGGTCCCCAGTGTTGTGTATCCCATGTTGGTCTGGGACTGTGGAGGTCCCCAGTATTGTGTATCCCACGTCGGTCTGGGACTGTGGAGGTCCCCAGTATTGTGTATCCCATGTTGGTCTGGGACTGTGGAGGTCCCCAGTGTTGTGTATCCCATGTTGGTCTGGGACTGTGGAGGTCCCCAGTATTGTGTATCCCACGTCGGTCTGGGACTGTGGAGGTCCCCAGTGTTGTGTATCCCATGTCGGTCTGGGACGTGAGGTCCCCAGTGTTGTGTATCCCATGTTGGTCTGGGACTGTGGAGGTCCCCAGTATTGTGTATCCCATGTTGGTCTTGGACTGTGGAGATCCCCAGTGTTGTGTATCCCATGTTGGTCTGGGACTGTGGAGGTCCCCAGTATTGTGTATCCCACGTCGGTCTGGGACTGTGGAGGTCCCCAGTGTTGTGTATCCCATGTCGGTCTGGGACGTGAGGTCCCCAGTGTTGTGTATCCCATGTTGGTCTGGGACTGTGGAGGTCCCCAGTGTTGCGTATCCAATGCTGGTTTGGGACTGTGGAGGTCCCCAGTGTTGTGTATCCAATGTTGGTCTGGGACTGCAGAGGTCCCCAGTGTTGTATATCCCATGTTGGTCTGGGACGTGAGGTCCCCAGTGTTGTATATCCCATGTTGGTCTGGGACTGTGGAGGTCCCTAGTGTTGTGTATCCCACGTCGGTCTGGGACTGTGGAGGTCCCCAGTATTGTGTGTCAGATGTTGATCTCTGAGTGCAGAGGTCCCCAGTCATCATGCCTTGACACGAAGGATCCTTGCTGATTGTGTTCCCCCATGTCCTGGCTGTATGAATCCTTGCTGATTGTGTTCCCCCATGCCCAGACTGTATGGATCCTTGCTGATTGTGTTCCCCCATGCCCTGACTGTATGAATCCTTGCAGGCTGTGTTCCCCCATGTCCTGGCTGTATGAATCCTTGCTGATCCATAGAAGCATTAATTGAGGTTCATATCACTACAAAAACACACCCTCGTGTATAAAAATACATTTTTCAAAAGTTCATTTTTTCTTCAGATATATACCAGCCCAAAAGAAACTGCATCTTAAAAAATATAGACCAAAATAATGCATTGGAAATTTATTCGAAATTAATCATGTTTCCCAATTGAAAATTCATTTTTACGAACTTGAACAACACTAAAGGACTTATGATTTAT